AGACGTATGCATTGTTTGTCAGGCTGATAATAGCTATTTAGCTAGCCTAAGTCGTTTGCAGAGAATACAAATTCATTCGTCTCTCCTCTTCTCTTGTCACCTTGGAAACTCACATCTCCCGAGAGCCCCAGCACTTCTGCATCCATAATACTACCCTTCCATTTCCACTGACCAACTAAGCTCGAAGAATACCCACAACCACACCTTATGGAATCCATCCTCAAGCACTAGTCAATCACACCACGTCAAGTGAATGCACTAGAAATGTGATGATTCAATATTGAGCGGGGAGCGTAGGGACATGGCTGCCCCCAAGCCCGCTTCGAGGAAGCACTCAATAGGAGAGTGAGCTTGTGGATGACCGAGTTGAGAGCATCTGTTAGGTGTATATACCAACCATTCTCAGTTGAACAAAAGAAGTCAAATAAATTCCCACGGAACATCTGCACGCAGAAAAAAATGGGATTGGGAATATTTCTATTAGAGATGGCCATCCATTCAGCCCCAGAGCCAATATATGTGACAATGATAGCTGTCGACTAATGGTATCATTGTCCTGGGTGCACTCGTCCTGCCTTACAGATCTATATCTCGATGGATCCTGAATCCAAGTCATCCATTTCTGTTTGCTCTGTTGGGCTACTTATACGACCCACATACTCATTTGAGAAGGCAAATTCATGTGTTAAGGTCTGGAATTCCAGTAATTCGGGATCTAGAGCTACAAATTAGAATCGACGAATTTACTACCAATCAGGGGGGCTAATTGAATAGTTCCTACTTTGGTTGGAATTGTGGGTTCCAGCTTGATTTGCATTAAAGAAACTGCTTTAGTAGCTAGAGAAGAATATAAAATATGAATTGTCTTCCCATTCATCAAGATTAGCTGGTATCCTGCAGACCTCTGGTCTTCTACTAGCTTTCCAAGTCTACAATGGGATAGTGTCATATCAGCATGTTTGAAGGAATGAAATGGCCGCCGGCACATGAGACTTATTAATTGAACTGAACCCTATCTGTGGTCTGTTCTATACATAAGGAATCTACTTCTTTCCTTTCTCAGCCCGGAGATGGCGGGCGCTGTAAAACAGGAGATAGGCATCCTGGCGGAGGACTTCCGCCACACCGGCGATGGTGACCTTATTGTCGTCCATCAGTACCCACTAGAAAGATAACTCATTAGCAAAGCACAAACACAGGAGACAAATGTTTTGTAGTGAAACAAACCTTATCGTTGTCAATACGGGTATAGGCATAGTAATGTCCAGAGTCCATTGTTCCTTGGTGAACAATGACAGTGGACAGGTCGTACATGTAACTAGACATGTCAACAGGGAGGTTGTCCTTTCTGACAGTGTAGGGCAGCATGTTCACAGACAAAGGGAAGTCGATATGACCGTTCATTTTTTCGGATGAATTAGAGGAGTGTTCGTAACGCTATACGAATGTCAGCATGGAATCTTATTTCAAGGCAGTCAGAAACGCAAACAAACCTTTAGCTGCATGCAAAGCATGACAGGAAGTTTGCGGATCAGCAGGCGCTTTGAAGCCCGCTGGGGAGTGTTACCACACTTCTCGCAGTGGTAAGCAGCATCGGCGTGGAGGTCTTCAGCAGCAGTGAAGCTGTCCAGACAGCCGAGGAGGGTTCCAGTAGTAGAAGAAGTAGAGCGACCGAGCTTGCGCTTCTTGTGTTGCTGCTGCACATCAAGACTCAGATCGGCCATGGGGTCGTGGGTGTTTGTGGTTTGGCCGCATTTGTGGCACATGACGCTGCTACGCAGTTCGCCGTAGAACATCTGGTGGAAGAAGCAGTTGCATGGCTTGTCGTAGCTCTCCACGTGTCCAGGGGTGGATGAGTGCAGTTCATTTACAAGGAATTGGAAGTATTCGTGGGCATCTTGCTGGCGGTATCCACGCATCTCCTGTAAACTAGTTAGCCAGTTCTACTGTTCAACTCTGACCTCGACGTACCTTGGATTTCTGCCAACCATGGTGAAGAAGAACGGCTGCAGAGACTGCTTCAGTTTTATCGGCGCTGTTGAATTCCATGAAGACTTCAGCTGTTGCACAGGCGAGACAATCTTTGATCATGCATGTGTGGACGTCATGGCCACCTCCCAGGAAATAGGCAGTGAGGCTAGGGTCGTGCAGCATGGCCTGTAAGATAGAAGCCTGGTAGCATGTTTGACCCATGTTCCAGACACCACGAGCGCCGCGGATGGCGCATGGGTTCTTGTAAGCATTGTTCTTGACGTAGACTTCAGAGGCTGAATCTTCGGCCCAAATGGATCGCCCATCTACCAGACGTTAGTAGAGGTCCACGAGTTGGATAATTTGGAATTGCCCGAGACTCACCGATGGCTTCAAACTTGCCAGAAGGGCCACGGAGTCTGTCCAGGGTGTGGTCATAGATAAAATCAACACACTTCTCACAGAAGACAAAGCGGTTGCGAGACTCAAGATCTGCCATTGCGTAAGTATGAAACAACCCGATCAGTCAAAAACCATTAACTTAGACTTACAAAATGCATGCCCAGTCGCCGCAGTATGTTCCGCTCGCTTGGAACCCAGGCATACTTCTGCACAACTCAAACAGTGATACTTCGGCTTGAGGGACTCGACAGTTCGGAGGCCAGTGGTTGGAACAGCAACCGTCTCTGTCTTTGAGAACGGAGCTAGCAATTTGTATTGCCTGCAGAATGCCTCTCTGAACTGGCCAGCAGTCTTCTCATCTTTGGAGAGAATAGACGCAAGATGTACTAGCGGGAGGTCAGCTGGGCATGAATGAATCACGGCAATTGTCAATTCTTACCACAGCCAAAAGCTGCTTCAGAAAGAAGCTGGACCGAATCGAGGGTTGCCATAGTGAGCGACATCAGTATGGTTGGATGAGAAGAGAGAGTAAAAGAGATAGGATGGAAGGGAGAAGGTTAGGGTTGTTCAAAAGCCGACACAAAGATATGTAGTAAAAACACGTTAATAGAAGTTCCAGACTTCTATTCCACGTGGAGACAAGAAGAGGAGGCTGAAAGATAGTTATCCAAGGGAGAGAGAAAAGCTGGGTATAAAGAGACCAGGTACAGCCTCAAGGACCCTTTCTGAATAGGGCCAGCATTGCACTGTATAATCAATATAATCAATGACATGATCAATCAAAGAGTAGCAGAACAATAGGACTTACGAAAGCAAGTGAATAGGGACAATAGCAGACGAACAGAGGGAAGCTATACAGTCCACAAAGGGTTGCGAATGACCTGATTCGACGTCACAGCCAAAGTTCAGATAATAGGACCCTATTCAAAAGCAATGAATATAAATATAAAAGTCTATTATCCAACGAATGGGGTCAAGGTTCCCTGTTGGTTTCAAAAGTAGTCGGGGGGAGGTGAGTTCGCCATCGGGCGGTGGTTTTTCGCCTGACCCCGATTTACCGATTTACCGCCGGATAAGAGATCGGACAAGCAATTTCAATGGCAGAAGCTGGGCAGAAGCATGTCTTTGTGATTTTTTTAATTTTTTTGGATAGGAAGTATTTATTTGGTATTTAAGTATATAGGGTTGATTTTAGTGTTGCACAACATCTGAGTGACATGGTATAGTTTCATTCAATGGTCATTTCTAGGGAATCATAATGGAAGGAAGATGCGCTAGCCCATTGTAGGTCAAAGCTATAGGCAAAGGCCCAGCCCTTGAACGCTAATAGTCAGACATATAGCATGAGCTGACTGTCCATAATCAGGCCATCTTAAACACTCGGGTGTCCAGCTCTTTACCGAGTTCCAATCCCTCTGCCCCGAGGCAGTGCGCTGGGACGAGCGCCACGCGCAGTGCCTCGTGTAGTATACCGACTGGTTGCTGCACCGCGAGCCATGCCACGCGACGATGCTCGTGAGCCGGCAGCATACTTGGACGTCGGCCTAGAGGAGGTGGTGGTGGCGGTGGTGCTCGAGGGGTTCTCGACAAAAGTTGTATCCGTAGTCCTGTAATATAAGAACCCATTAGCCCAAGTGTCCTCCTATAATGGATTTATCGCATCGCTCTCTCAACTCACATAAAGGTCATCTCGCCGTCATCAATTGGCCGTGTTGGTTCTGATTCAGCCTCTAGATGGTTGTTAGCAAACCCCGACCACAAGATCCAGGCATTTCCAACAGAGAGCGTTCGCACCTTGTTCTTCTTCGTCCTGCTTAGCTTTTTTGAACGAGTCTGGAATCGGAGCCTGCATCGAACGAATCAGCAACCCAGTCGCGCACTGTCACCCCTGCCACAACTGTGGGCGACGCGTCTGCGAACATACCTCTGGGAAATCCACACAGAATGCATTCATATTCAATCCGTAGAGGAAACTGGCAAAACTCTCACTGAAGCGCGTCAGGCTCTCATGCATCAGCTGCAAGTGCATGAAGTTGGCCTCGAGGTCTGCCATCGAATCGGCCAGCTCAGCGAACTGTGGCTCCAAGGCATTGATGGCGGGTTGTGTGTATCCTGCATTTCCAATGCTATTTCCATATCCGTGGGCTTCTCGTAATGAAGAGCGGGAGCTGGGGCGTAGAGGGGTTGTGGGCCGGGATGACGGTCTCGGGCGCGAGGATGATCGAGGTGCGTCCATGTCTGCGATGCGGTGTGTTGTGGCGAGAGACAATGGGCCAACGATAATAGGTGTTGTTATTGCAAAATAGGTGGAGTGATGTTGAGTGATGTTGAGTGGGTTATGTTTGGGATTGTTGATCTCCCTCGGAAAGATCTCTCACGCGACACTTTTATACTTACGACTTGGAGATGAGGACTGGATCGTACAAGATATATATTAGATAAACTCAAAAGTAAATCGAAGTCAATGTCTTAAATTCATTATTCTAGACTACATGTCTATTTTAGGAGATGATCTTCCCCGCATCGTCATATCCTTGATTCCGCTCTCGCATTTTCTTCCTTCCTACCTCCCAGGGCTAAGACCTAGTGCTCACTCATATGACCATATCACCTCAATTATACTGCTTATGCGTGGTACGATCCTACGCCGTCTCTATCCTTCGGCCAAGCTCCCTGTCGCTCGGTATTCATTCGCGCGACCATTCTCCACATACCAAGAACACCAGAAGGCTTCATCTTTTTGGACCCTTACATTTACATTAGCTGTCGTTGGAGGAGGCGCTTGGCTCCAGGACAGATACTTCAATCCCAAAGACACAATCACTTCGCAGCTCCGACTCCCTCAAAAACCCTCCCTCGGGGTAATCGATACCCTCGCGACCATGCCCGCCGAACTCGCCCCCGGAACAGTCGGGAACCTCACCCCTGAGCAAAAGGTCAAGCTAAAGGAATTTTGGGTCCTGGCACTGAAAGTCTTCGGCCTCACACTCGAAGGACTCGAAGCGCCCCCGTCCACCGCCACCAGCGAAGCCGCAACACCCGCCCCAGCCCAGGATAAGAAGAAGTCCAAGGGCCGGTGGGGATTTTTCGGCCGCGCCGACGATGAGGACACGAACAGCGGTTCCGGCACTGCTTCCAGCGTATCTTCGATCAGCGTCGCCGATGGCGACGACAAGTACGGTCAGTCCAAGGAGTTCAAACAGGCACTGGAGGACATGAAGCCCGAGGAGATCCGCACGGCGTTCTGGAGCATGGTGAAGGGTGATAACCCCGACTCGCTGTTGCTGCGGTTCCTGCGTGCGCGCAAGTGGGATACCAAGAAAGCGCTTGTTATGTTGATTTCCACGATGCGCTGGCGACTGCTGGAAATGCATGTCGACGACGATATCATGTTCAACGGTGAGGCGTCGGCTTTGAAGATGTCACAGGGCTCTGATCCCAAGGAGAAGAAGAAGGGTGATGACTTCTTAACGCAGATGCGTCTCGGTAAGAGTTTCCTGCACGGTGTTGATCGTGCTGGTCGGCCCATCTGTGTTGTTCGTGTGCGCTTGCATAAGGCTGGTGATCAGGATAATGAAGGCTTGGAGCGGTTTACTGTTTATACTATTGAGACTGCGCGTTTGTTGCTCGCGCCGCCGATTGAGACTGCCGTGAGTTTTCTGATTTGAAGATTGTGTTTCGATAGCTGACTCTTGCAGACTATTGTCTTTGATATGACGGACTTCGGTATGGCCAATATGGTAAGCTCTTCGTCTCAACGTCATCCACTCTATGTACTGATATCTCCCAGGATTACGCCCCGGTGAAATTCATGATTAAATGCTTCGAAGCGAATTACCCCGAGTCTCTCGGGGCAGTGCTCATTCACAAGGCTCCTTGGTTATTCTCAAGTCCGTATCCCACAACCTATCCAAAACACCGCTTTCTAACCCAACCCAGGCATCTGGAGCGTGATCAAGGGCTGGCTCGACCCAGTCGTCGCAGCAAAGATCCACTTCACGAAGAACCGCCAGGATCTCGAAAACTTCATCCACCCAAGCCAAATCATGAAGGAGCTCGAAGGCGATGAAGACTGGGAATACAAATACGTCGAGGTGCCGGAGAACGAGAACCCCAAGATGGCCGACAAGGAAACGCGGGATACCCTGATGGCCGAGCGCCAAAAGCTCGCCCAGGAGATCCAGGATACCACCGTTGAGTGGATCCGTGCCAGCTTCAAGAAGGAGACTGACGCTGCCTCTGCTGCTGAGGAGAAGCGGAAGGGTTTGATCGAGCAGCTGCGTTCGCACTACTGGGTTCTTGACCCGTATGTCCGGGCTCGTTCGCTCTACGACAGACTCAATATTGTCCAGGGCGGTGGGAAGATTAACTTCTATCCTGGCTCGGAGAAGGAAGCGGAGAGTACATCGGCATAAGCTGTGCAGAGTGCATGAGTTGGGTGATATGTTTAATGTTGATTTTCATGCCTACCTGCTAGATATTTAGAGTCTTGATTTTGCATGTTTGTAACATACAGACTTGGTTCTTGTTAACTAGAGGATATACGAACATTTTGGTATACATTTAAGAGCAGTCTTGTATATCCAAACTGACTTCCTACTTGAGTGTTTCTTGCAACTCTGTCTACTCAAACTCGCACTACAGTCCTTCGACAGAAGGTTTACGGTGTATCACGAAAATAACTCGGTTTTCATTGTTACCGATTCAAGGCTTGCCCTAATCAAAAGCCATTTAGATCTTCGACTTGATCTCCTCATGGAGAGCCTTGAGCTTAGCCATATCCGTCTCCTGGGCAGGCCAGCCAATGATCAGGCCCTCCTTCTCGTTGGGCTTCGGGATCTATTGTCTTGTCAGTGTATGTTCTGAAGAGGATTTCTGGCGTAGGACCCAATATCCAAAAGATAGTAGAGCATACCATGTGGAAGTGAACCTGTTAGAGAGGACTGGTTAGCATCGTCACAATTATTAAGGCGATCCTCTGAAACTCACATGACCAACGACCTGGTGCGCAATTGCTCCATTGTTCTGCAGGACATTGAAATCCTCGGCGCCGCTGGCCTTGGCGATCTTCTTCGCGACGGGCTGCGGGCGTACGATCTCGGTTAGCTATGTCCCTATTCTCTAGTCCAGTTCCGAGTATGCGAGGGACCTTGTGGGATTGCCCCCAAGGTCCCCGTAGGGATGTAATCGGACTTAATCAGAGGTTGAAGGAATTGACTCTCGTCTTCACTCTCTTCGTTGTCCGGGGTTGTTCTCTCATCCACTTACCAAGATCTCAAGCAAGTCCTCGTCGGGGATATCAGTCAGCTTTGCGCCGTGGAATTTGGGAATGACAAGCTGTGCAAGGTGTCAGTTTGATTTTCTTTTCTTTTCTTTTGAATTATTGGCCCTGAATTTGCTGGCTGGAGCTATCGCCGCAGTGCGGGCAACTTCGCTGACGCCCCGCCACGAGCAACACGCCGGATGCGGGGACATCGGGAAGAGCAACCGTAGGGAATAATAATACGCACCGCGTGGCCACGGCTCAAGGGCTGGATGTCGAGGAAGGCGAAGACTTTCTCGCTTTCAAAGAGCTTCAAGGAAGGGATATCTCCTATAGCACCCCCAAGGAAGCATGTCAGTCAACCCATGTTTTGCTATGACGCGTCGAGTTGAATATTGCGATAGAGATTGATGTGTACATATGTAGATATAGTGTAAAGAATAGACATACCCTTGATGATTTTGCAGAAGATACAGGCAGCAGACGACATTTTGTAAGGTGGTTTTAAGTGGTGAATGAACTCGAATTGAAGCTCAATAGTAAATTAATATGCGGGGTTCACAGTTAATAATTGGAATTAAATCGACTGACGAGTTTCGAACACCGACCCTTCCATGTCCGGGCCACGCACAAGAATAGTAGTGGTGGTATATTATAAAGCAATTACGAGAATGATACCCGAGGAGTGGGACAAGTTAGTGCAGAACCCATTTCTTGCCTTTTACCAGAGATGGCCGTGATTTGCCCACAAAACTCCTCTCATAAATCTTTGGACACACAATGACACAGCAGTCATTATTTTTGATTTTTTTACTCTACTGTAGTACGCTTTTATATACGATCATGTTATTTTATTATATGCATACATTTTTAATGTATTTATTGGCTGGTGATTGGTTGGTAATGGTGGATAAATGAATGTATATATATCACTATTTAGCCCAGGCGTATCATACTCTTAAGACATCCAATATACTCCCAGAAAGTTACGTTATATTGATCTCTAAGGTTGTTTAATGTGCTCATGCTGGAGAAACACAACACTGGAACTGCACCCAAGAGAAAGTAGATGGCTTTAATATTCTCATTCCCCATGGCACGCAGTCTGTAAGTGGTGGTGAATATGTTGATATGCAGTTTTATAGTTTCTATCCTTGTTTGTTACTATCTGGGATGCTGTAAACAGATATTCCTATGCTTTCAACCTGTTATTCTAAATTGGCTCTTCGCGTAGCAGTCTTCTGAAGCTGGTTGGAGATATACATTTTGGACTAGAACAACCCTAATATAAGAGAACCGATGAATAATAATGGACAAGCACAGTTACCAAGAAAGTTAGGGAGCAAGAGCAAATTCACTAGCTATGATTAATTGCGTATAGAAGAACAGAACGTAGTGATACTGGATAGACATAAACCACTGGGAACATCCAATCACAGTCCAGGTGTTGTCAGATCCAAACGGTGATTTTCTCCTACAGAGGTTGTAGATATAGCAAGGCCATAGATTTTAGTTTGTAAACTAACTTCAAAATCAAATGAACAACTAGAAGTTACCATATCAACCGAGTCTAAACAAAAAAGAAAGAAAGACGAGAAAGTGATTTGTTAAGGTGGTGGTCCGTACTCCCGAATCGGGACTAGCGCAATAGTCCCGTGCGGTTCTTCCGACTTAACGCTGCGAAAGACCCTCGCACATCACCACGCCCTTCTTGGCAACACTCCGCTCCAATTCGCTGGTCTCGAGAGATATACTCAGTCAGAGACCATGCAGAAGTCTCGCACTATCAACACTGCCCTGGGGGCCCGTCCCTTTGTGCCAGTCCCGCGGGTTCAGCTTCAGTTCCAGCGCAACCTTCAGGATGTCCGCATCACCCGGACTGGCAAGCCCCTCGTGAAGGTCCAAGGTGGCCGGTAAGTGATCAATTGTGCTATGGATAAGGTCATTGTCCTTGGTTGCTGACGCGCTCTTTCTATAGTTCTTCCATTGGAGGTAGCTAAGCCTTTCCATTTTGATGCTACGCTTCGGTCCGATATGCTCACACGATTCTAGGTCACACCGCGACCGTATTTGGTGCTACTGGTTTCCTCGGTCGCTACATTGTCAACAAGCTTGGTAGGTTGAGGGTCTGCCGCACTGCAATTGGATCATGCGCTAACGGCCCGCAGCTCGCCAGGGATGCACCGTTGTCGTTCCCTACCGTGAGGAGATGGCTAAAAGACACTTGAAGGTCACTGGTGATCTTGGCCGAGTTGTGTTCATGGTATGGAGCTTTACTACCACCTATTTTATTTAAATCGAGGGGGGGGTGCCTGACTCCAGTATAGGAATACGACCTGCGCAACACCCAATCCATTGAGGAGAGCGTTCGTCACTCCGATGTTGTCTACAACCTTGTCGGTCGTCAATATCCCACCAAGTGAGTTATAGCGTGTGATATACATGAATAAGTGGTTTCTGACGATACCAGGAACTTCTCCTACGAGGATGTCCACGTCGACGGTGTCGAGCGTATCGCCGATGCTGTTGCCAAGTACGATGTCGACCGCTTCATCCACGTTTCTTCCTACAACGCTCGCCGTGACTCGCCTTCCGAGTACTTCGCCACCAAGGTCAGCATATCTACAGGAACTATACAAGAATGAGTGCTGATGACATATAGGCATGGGGTGAGGAGATCGTCCGCAACATCTACCCGGAGACCACAATCGTGCGACCCGCACCAATGTTCGGTTTCGAGGACAACCTGCTCCACAAGCTGGCCAAGATGGGCAACATTTTCACCTCCAACCACATGCAGGAGCGCTACTGGCCCGTTCACGTGAGTTATTTCCCCAGGATGGACAAGCTGCATTGAACTAACCCTATCTAGGCCATTGATGTCGGTTCCGCTCTGGAGCGTATGCTGCACGATGACAGCACCGTCGGCCAAACCTTCGAGTTGTACGGCCCCAAGAACTACTCCACCGCCGAGATCGCCGAGTTGGTCGACCGTGAAATCATCAAGAAGCGCCGTCACATCAACGTCCCCAAGGCTCTCCTCAAGCCCTTCGCCCACTACATCAACAAGGCCCTATGGTGGCACACTCTGTCCGCCGACGAGGTGGAGCGCGAGTTCCTCGACCAGGTCATCGACCCGACAGCCAAGACCTTCAAGGACCTCGGCATGGAGGAGACCGCCGACCTGGCCAACTTGACCTTCCACTACCTGCAGGGCTACCGTAGTGCCTCTTACTACGATCTGCCTCCTTCCACGGAGCGCGAGCGCCAGGAGGACAAGCGGTACCTGCACGTGCTGGACGATCAGTAGTTTGTGTTTTTAATGTGTAAATAAGCCTTCCTAGACCAAAGTCGATTTCCTTTGTGGATGAGAGTGGTGCATGAACATAGTATGTATACAGTAGACCTGTCTAGCTTTTATAGAACCCATTGCCTTCAATGCTCCTAAAAAGGCCCAATATCAAAAACTCAATTCCCCAGAGCTCCCCGCACTCGATAACACCATATCAATCCCACCTCCAATTCTCACCCTCACCCTCGACTTCACCTTCACCTTCACACCCCAAACAAGCCACCCACAATGCCTTCAACACCCATTCTCCTCCTAAAAACAAAATCCTCCCCCAATGATGGCTACGAAGACTTCTTCTCCGCACAAAACTACACCCCAACCTTCATCCCAGTCCTAGAACACCGCTTCCTTAAAAACAACCTCACCCAAGTCCGCGACCAATTCAGCACCGGCGCATTCAACAACAATGGTTCAACCCCCCGAAAATACGGCGGTCTAATCTTCACCAGCCAGCGCGCAGTCGAAGGTTTCGCGCAGATGATCGAAGATGAAAAAGATGGTACATACCCAAACCGCCAACACATCAGACACCAACCCCAATCCCAAACTAACGCAACCCATTGGGCAAATCTAGTAACCTTCAACATCCAAACTTCCCCACCCTTAATCCTCTACACTGTCGGCCCAGCAACGGCGCGAACCCTCACAACCCTCCGCGACAAACACCTCCCAGACGCCCTCATCCACGGCGCAGATACAGGAACCGGAGAGAACCTCGCGCATTTCATCCTCTCACACTATGATTCCCTCTACCCGACAGACAAACCAGCACTCTTATTTCTTGTCGGTGAAGTGCGGAGGGATATCATCCCGAAGACACTAATGGATAAAAGCTTACCGGTTGAGAAGCGGGTTGGAGTTGAGGAGCTCGTTGTGTACGAGACGGGTGTTATGGAGTCTTTTGAAGGGGATTTTGCGGATGTGGTAGGTAGGTCGTCTGGGGATGTTTGGGTGGTGGTTTTTTCGCCGACGGGGTGTGAGGCTATGTTACGGGTTCTTGGGTTAGGGCCTTTTGCCGGAACTGGGACTGGTTCCGGAGCTGGAAATGGAACTGGGAAGGTCTTTGTTGCTACTATTGGACCGACGACGAGGGATCATCTGCGTGAGAAGTTTGGGTTTGAGGCGCATGTTTGTGCGCCTAAGCCTAGTCCTGAGGGTGTGCTGGAGGGTATTGAGAAGTTTATGAGTGGAGTTTGAGGGGTGAATATGGGTGGGTGTGAGTATGTACTTTGTGTAGGATGGGTGTATATAACTAGATGTAGAACTGGGACGGCATGTATATAAAGTAGGAGAGGTGCAGTGCAGGGTATTACAGTGCAAATCAACTGTTTTACTTGAACACTTATAATCACATTTCGAGTTGCCCTGCTATCTCTAACATGTATCAAATCACGCTGTCATGTGCGTGCGGAATAGAATAGAATCCAACATCCTCCTAGCCAACCTAATATCGTTTGAAATAGTCAAGTCAGATTTACCGCATGATTTCCTCGTAGATCAAGACTGGGAGAGGTTAGTAAATTTACCAAGAGAAGACCAGAATCAGACACAAAAGGGTAAACTCACGCTTCAACTGCTCCTTACTCAGAGCATCCTTGTTCTTGTCGAAATCGAAGAATCCATCGGGAATGGGTGGTGCAGTGGGCTCATCTTCAGGATCATGGTACGGCTCGAGGTAGGGGTGTTTCAGAGCTTCCTCGACGGTGATACGCTTAGCCGGGTTGAAAGCGAGCAGCTTCTCGAGCAGATCCAGAGCGGTGTCGTTGCTCTTGGGGAAGAGTGCGCGGAAGGGAATCTTCTTCTTAAAGGGGAGGGAGCGGATGTATTCGCGGGCACGGCGGGATTTGATGCCGTAGTAATCTTCCATCGTGGGTGTGCCGAGGACGTCCAGGATAAGAGTCAGCTGGTGGTGATCTAGATGGACATGTTAGTTATCGTGGTTGCTGCTTGAAAGGAGAAATGGAATCGTACAATCTTTGCCAGGGAAGAGAGGCTTTCCGCTCAGCATCTCAGCCAATATGCAGCCAACACTCCAGACATCAATAGCCTTGGTGTATTCCTTGAACGTCAACATGATCTCCGGTGCACGGTACCAACGTGTAGCCACATATTCTGTCATGAATCCGGAGTTGTCGTCGGTGGAGGCGGCCGAGCGAGCCAGACCGAAGTCGCAGACTTTCAGGTCGCAATTGGCATTAAGCAGAAGATTCGAGGGCTTTAAGTCTCGGTGGAGGACGTTGGCTGAGTGCATGGCCTTGAGTGCACGCAGGGTCTGGTAGATAAAGTATTGGCAGTGGTCGTCTGAGAGGTCTTGTGTGCGGATAACCCGATGCATGTCTGTTTCCATCAGTTCCTGCATGCTGTTAGTAAACCGGGCATATCCCATACATGCGCATCTTGTCAGATGGCAAGCTTGGACATACTTGAATCAGGTAAACTTCATTGAATCCCTCGTAGTTACGGGGCCGTTGAATATCCAGGATGGAGATGATGTTTTCGTGGTTAAAGTATCTCAGCAACTTCATCTCACGCAGTGTACGCAGGCAAAACATGGAGTGATCGAATGGCGTGATCTTCTTGATGGCGACCTTCTGGCCCGAGGGCTTATGAATGGCAGAGCTGTATTGAGTTAGAGGAGCCTCGACAAAAAAAAAGCCTCGTACTACTTACCAGACGACACCATAGGCGCCTTCGCCGATAACATCTTGGATTTCATATTGGTCTGAAACATTGAAGGAGATCTTCCGGGATCCTCCCGCGGGAGGGTTTGGTTGAACCATGTCGAGAATGGTTTCTTTGGTAAGAGTATCCTTTGGGGAATCGTCAGCTTTAAAAATCCATGGGATCCAGTGGAAAAAAGGTCGAACACAGTCCATGGGTAAATGAATCGGGAACCGGGGATTGAAAACAGTAAACGGAGAATCGCGCACAATTTGGCGATTCACAATTCAGGGAACGCAAGGCAATGGAACTTGAGGTCAATCGATCGGAAGGCTCGAACAACTCGACAAGTACAAGCGCGGGGGAACAAACGCAACGATAATGCACGGAAACCGGGAAATAAAGCTTACTTTCGTTTGCGCTTCGAATTGGTTTCTCGGAAAGGTGCTCAAAACTCTCGACTGTATTGGGTTTCGAAAGTCGGTAAGATCTCAGGGAATGCAAGGCGAGGAGTAGGAAGGTAAAGGGACCTTGGTCGTACCAAGCTCTGGTGGGGTGATATGACAGGTACAGCGTCTAGACTCAAGAGACCGGAGAAGGATGCGAAGATCAGGGGTTGTGCTGCCAGGTCGGTATCACGGTATCACGATATCAATTCCAGAGCCTAAAAACGTAGCATGTTAGTGGAATTGCCGGTGATGATGCTGGGCCGCATGGAGAGGATGAGCCAAGACGCTCCGAAGCGGGGTCAACCTTGGATGCGGGATCACCACGGGTCGGGACTGGATTGGGACTCACCTTGTCGTCTCGTCCTTTAGTCAGGCAAAGAAAACCAGAGAAGAAAGGAGAGAAAGATGAGAAGAGGTGAACCTGGAGAAACAGCGGGCCGTAGAGTGGTGGGGCAGAGAGCTCTGAAGCGGCTCCAGCAATTTGGTGGGTGAAACAAAGTGGTTCCGATCCCGAAATCCACGGAAATTGGTGTCAATTAAGAGAGAAGAACTAGGAGGGACTAGGAATCATCGATCCTAGAGAAGAGGAGGAAGTAGAGTGAGAGAGAGGCATAGAAAGAGTGAGAGAGTGAGAATGCCCCCTGTCTGATTTCTCTGGTTTGATGGACGTGGAACCTTGGATCACTTGAGTTCTCTCCACAATTACATGAGGAGTACTTGGTACTGACTGGAGTCACCCATATATTATCAAGTACCTTAGAAGTACATTCATACATCTAGGGATCTCCGCCACAGCGCCAAAGTCTCTCACATGTCGCGCTCGATGGACGGCGCTACTGCACCTGGCGAAACTTGTCACAATCAACTTTCCCGCTCCACCACATAGGAGGGTGCTAGTTTCATCCTGATTGGAGAACCCACCATTCCTAGTTTCACTAGTCCCAAGGGGTACCCCGTTAATTGGGTCTGAGGCGGTGACTAAATTCCAGGCAAAGCAAGTATAAGTCATACGGCTCTATATATATGTTCTCGGAGATTGTAGGCCGTGCGATTTTCTTGCCGTTTTACGAGGGGTCAGAGTATCTTAGAGCTTCCGCTTAATTATAAACAGGCGGTTCAAACTATGTAGGTATATTCAAGAATAGAAACTAGAAACTATGTAAGCTCTTCTAATGGCCTAGCAGCACTTAAATGAGCACTTAAATGCTTGTTTCCTATATATAGGCTATCACCGATCTTCAGTATTCTCGGTCTTTAGTCAAAGCTGTTGGATTGAAGACGGTAGCACAAAAGGGCTTACCTATTGCGACCAATTTAATTTGAGTGGGAGGTATTAAAAACACAGCAGTTTGTTGCAAAAGGCAAAACACCATAATTAGACCTGGATGGTTGATCTTCCCGAGACCCATTGAACAGCCCAGACCACTCGACTGAACACGTGTAGTTTATTCTATATATGAAGGTAGATCCATCGTCGCTTGCTCCAACGTCTCGAAATCAGAGAACGAAACACCGTGTCGGAGATGTCGCTTTAACAGTTCATGAGTGATGAAGCGCTCCGGTATATTTCCCTGAGCATCTAGGAATGAGACACGGGGATTGGCATTGCTGATTCTCTGTAGCTCATTTGCACGGCGATGGTGGTTTGGACACCTATCTGGACCCATCAGGAATATCGTGACATACACCCAACTTAAGCCAAGAAGATCGAGCAGGAATTCGTTTATGTCTGGTGCTTCGCCGTCGAGTATGATAAGCAGCCTCAGTATAGGTGTTTGTGGACCAGCTTGCCACCCGTACATAGGATGGTAAATTGCTGTTCCCGAGTGTTTCTGGAAGTGGAGTTCCTTCGCTCTTTGCCAGCCTAACATCAGTCGAGTATCTCCTCCGAATCTAATCTTTGACCATGTTTGTTCCAAATTCTGGTGGTTGATGTGGCCTACATAGCGGGCTTGATCTGCGAATGTGACGACTTGATAACCTCGGGGATTGTGGTCGTGATTGATCATGGCTTGAGTAAAGCGACTTATGATGGTCCTGGCGATATCTATGTCCTGAAGTTAGGATCTGATGTAGATTGGTAGGAGGGGGATATACTCACCTTTGCTCTTTGGCTGCTTAGAGGTAAAATAGCCTGTAATGATATGCTCCTTATAATTCGGGCGAAGCGGTGCAAAGTTCATTGACTTAGAGACCTCTAAGAGAATCATAGTCTCGTCTAAAGGAACTGCTGGCTCCCCAAAGTATCTGCAAGGAGACATGACTTGTTTCGAATAAGTCTCGGAGATAGATTGAACCTTGCAGATATCATCGCGTGAGGAGTATTCCGTACGTGTTTCAACCGCGGATTCCATTCTAGATCGAGCCATGCTCATCGCAGAGATGACATCGGGCTTCGTCTTACTCCCAACAATGCCCTCTGCGTTATTCATGACCCAGTATAGACGTTCCTCGGCGAGATCTTTGTATCCTCTCCAGCCGGGCGTGACTCCTCTCCACCCACCTAATGGGTCGATGGACAATTTGAGAGGATTAGACGTTGATTTTGCCCAAGCCAGTGGAATAGGCTCAAAATATCCTGCTCGGAGGAGGTGGAAATACTGAATTGGGTGACGGGCACGAAGATCGGCAATATTTGGACTTATTCCAACTGTTTCTTGATATGTTGCTACAAGCTGTCGCCATTCTTGGTTTGGCCATCTGCCTTGCTCTTCATCTAGGATGGCCTTGCGTAACCCCCTAGTGTGAATAACTGTCTTCTCCTCTGTCGTTTTCTTCGATAGCATCCTTTTCAAACTACCAAATGCCGATGGCTTGGAGCTTTCCGTGAGGAGACCTGAGGGATTATTTTGATGAGTGAGCCGCTGTTCAGTTGGTTGCTGGATATCCGAAGAATATGTGGGGTCGGCCTCATTTGGTATAGAGGTCTCTAGGTTTTCGGTATTCCATATGGTAGACGTTGGCTCTATTGCATCAATAAAAGCCTGTGCCTCAGCATTGAGGGTTGCATTCAATCGTACAATCTTTTGAATATACTGGTTGTAGCCGAACAGAGTAGGCTTCGCCGTACTGTAACTTCCGGGGGTTGTAATTGCAAAAGGCGAGGGCACACGGCTATATGGATTCTTCATGATGCGAACCGAATGATTGTCATGATAGGCTAATTCACCTGCTCAGACGAGAAAGAGAGGGTTAGACCGTCCCCACGAGGCAACTGATATCATCAAATTGGCAGCGCTGACCTGGATACATGACTGCTTTGGACCACATTTCCTGGACAGCAAGCCGGGCAGACTTTCTGTCTTTGTATTTGTGGACATCGCAGTCACAGTTAATAGATTGCGAGGTATGCTGTGGTTCAACATCACTATTGAAAATGCGACAAGCCTGCTGAATGGCGTGTAGGGTGGCCTTCATATCTTGCTATCAGAGCAGACAAACGTTAGCATTCTATCAAGATAGAGATAGAAGGACTCTATATCGCACTTCATCTATAGAGCGGATTTTGGCAGCTTCGATAAATGTATTAGTGTGATGATGTGTAAGCCCTCTTATTGCTGAACGTGCATACGGTGGGAGGCAGTTCCGCATATCCGCCTCCGCATCCATAGTAGGCAAACTTGGAGCTGTAGTCTCATATTGAACATCATAATACCGACTGATAGCTTCATCGATATTTTCCGCTTCCTTGAATAGATGTGTCAGTATAGTTGGAAAGGGAAGTGATCAAAATGGCGTACCTCTAACAACCTAAGGGCGGCCCCTTCACTGGCCTCTGGAACGATGGCAATAAACTTCGCTATGTCATCTCTCGAAGGTAACATGGTGGAGAAGAAATACGAGGAAGTTGTAGAATGGGAATCCGTACATGAAATGCAGTTAAATTAAATGTCCTCTCCGGCTGCGGGGGTCACCAGATAGTGAGAAGCAAAGGTCCGAAAGTGCAGGGATATAGATAGCGCTCGTTCTCGTTACCACCCTGTTGCATTATTGGTGCAGACAACAACAACTAGACCTGAATTGGAATATATGGCCACCCACTATAATACTATTCCACCACAGTTTTCGGTGTCTTTTTCAAAAATTAGATCATTTGATTTGATTGGTCTAATCAGTTTCCCACCGCTCGGGCATCCTCCTGAACACACATATCACATTGGGTCCAACCCTCTGGTCATTGATAGGACCACCCAGAGACTAACGGGCTATGGTGACCTCGATTTAAGCTCAGCTGGAAAGAATACTGTCAGTGTGTTCCACCAAGAAACTATGATAGGTCTCATACCAGACAAGATCAGCCGCATCTGTTCCTTCGGTGCCACGCTTAATATAACAGTACCCCAGGCTTCCTCGTGCAGCGACCTCATCACGCTAGCAGGGGTTAGTCTAAATGGCCAGTACATAATGCGATAGAGAGTGTGCAAACTTACAGCAACGACATCCGGAGTAGGCTCAGCGATAGGAGCAGCCAGGCCAAGGGTGGCGAGGACGAAGAGGCTAGACAGCACAGTAGTGAAACGCATTTTGAAGAATTTATTCCAGATCGGGAGTGAGCTGGATCTTTGACTTATTTCAAACACAGAGAGGGAAGAGGCAGCTACTTATATCTTGAGATATCGACTACTGACTCACGCATCGCCCGAAACCGGGCTTGGTATAGACAGGCATTGGAATCCTACGGGCTGTCATATCCAAGAGGAGGTCTGAGAACAAGATTTGTTTATCCTAACCCCCTCGCTAGACCAGATTGGAGTAAAATACTTATCACGGGGCACATCCGTGGCCCCCAAGGCTACTATACCACCACGCCCAGGATCAGACTAGCGGTATGCTACGAGTGATTCATTCATCATACACTCACTCAATTTGACTGTACGAATCAACTCCACGAGCTGTCAATTTCTCTCCAGCATTATGCCTAATATGGAATCAAACCTTGAACTTGGCGAGTCTCTTCTCAAGGCTTCCCCAAGAGAGAAGGTCCAGAAAGCATCCAAGATCAAACCAACCGCTATTTTCATCATCATCGTCGTTCTAGTGTCTCTCAACATCATTGTTGCAAATCTACTCTACACTCCTCCACCTTACAAGATGTCAACCTCTCCTACTGCCCACTGTGGATCCTCACGCGACGAGGCCAAATCCGCAGGCTGCCATTTTGACCCAATGAGTTTCTCCTGGCTACCAACAGACTGCTACGACGCCGATCTCACAAAAAGCTTCCTTGGCTTGAAGGAATGGCAATGGTTCACGGATGCCGACGGATCGCCGGCGCCGCATGAATCAGTGCTGAGAGGCGATTATGATGAGCTATTTGTTTCGTGGGAATATCATTTGCTCCACTGCACGTACACTTGGCGGAAGATGCACCGGGCCTTGTTGCGGGGCAAGCCTGTGGATAATTATATTGGCAAGTATAATCACACGGCGCACTGCGAAATGATGCTTCTCGCGCAACACGTCGAGCGAAACAGCACCAATACCATTATCAAGACCAAGTTTGTCTCTTGTTAGGTAGCTGCCTACGGGAAGTGGTTAGAGTGTACCTGACGTTAGCTGTATGGTATTTAAAGCTAGTGGTTGCATCCCTGCGAGCTGGAAACATCGGATAAATGCCCTTGCAGGGGTGGGAGTCCATGGCTTTTGACCGGCATTTGAGGAAGGTCGCGTGGTTAGTGGATAAGACATGGATATACAGATACTTGCACGGCATATAATATCAATATGTAGTTGGACAAGTGGAGATATCTAAAAGGTTATAGAATAACCTACTCCGTATGAGTTATCATGTCATAACCAGTTCTATGCCCGCAACAACAATCTCAGCCAGTGGGAACTAACTCTTCTTTAGATCTATTAGGTATATTATAAGAGTAATGGGTCATTCTAGACAGTAAGAGAGGACTTTGCCTAGAATTGATAGCAATTTTAGGCAGGCGGGGGAACTTGAGCCGTGGGGAATGCCGACTTGTACAGGGCATACAACCTTTCTAGTATAAGCTTGTATTTAGTATCGAACATTGCCAAGAGGCTATCGTGGGTCGACCGTCGGCTTCCGATGCCGCTAAACAGAGCCTCCGCATTTTTCTTCCTTCTTAGTTCCCTGTCGAGATATAGAGGCCTATCACGGAGTGCCTTTCGGGACTCTCCTGTGATTACCGGGGTACTAGCGCTCCTGCGCTCCACTATTTGGGCTTTTGTAATCACCAAGAACATTGTTTATGCGCTACTCCGTAAGGACATTGTATAGTTACGCACCAAGGATAGTGTAAAATGAATTCCCCGCTTTCTGGCCCCCTGTTTATAGTGTGTTCACTGTTACCCTGCCATGTCCAGCAGAGATAGGCCACTCGAGACATGCAAGCTAATGTACACTATCTATGGATGTACATGTATGTAATGCTCTTATTTAACTAGCACTGGAGGTGCTACATAGATCCATATTGAAACCCGACACTTTTGTTATATGTACGAGCAATGCGAAGCATATATTACGGCGAGTAAATATGGTATAGATTGAATAGAATGAGTGTGACTGTCTAGTTGGATGACTATGTGTTCATTGTTAATTATCTACATACATATCTTCCGCGTAAGAAAGTGAATATATTACTGTGCAGTGGTAGTGTCTTACCTGCATCACTACTAGTGGGCTAGTGCTGCGCCTGGGCATAGTCCACCTAAACTCTTATCTCAAGGCTTTTCTTTAGATTAGTGTTACCTTGATTGATATAATCTCGATAGTACGCAGACGGAGTTAGGAGTTCGGAGTACGGAGACGCAATCTAATTCGAGAGGCGTTTATGACTAGACTAGTGTAATAGCAGTAGACCGGTATCGCAGTAATATATTAGTAAGTAGTAGATTATCACCAAATTATGGCTCACTTCCTCTCCAGAGGATTCATACTCAGATGGCGTCCTGCTCGACATGAAAGCGTTTCGATTTCTCAGCAAAGGCACCCGATATGACCAGCTGGAGCAGGCCAAGGACGGCGATCTCGAAAGTCCAGTTCCGCCTCATCGAACAATCTTCTCATCTCCTTTCGGACTCGCTCTTCACGCCTTACTAGCGGTTTTCTGGGTGTCTGCTTCATGGTATCTCATGTACAGAGACATCTGCCGGCCGGGCTTACACGCCCTCGAGTTTGGTATGCTTCAACTCTTCTGATTTATAGACACCCAGACTGATAGCACAGGCCCTGTTGCAAGTTCCATCGAATATGAGAATATTGTCTTTGAAATGAGTGGGATGGGCACAAGAGACCACCCCGTCACCGAATACGAGGGACCTCCAACGCCAGAAAATAACATCAAGTGGTTTGAACTATTGGATGGTAGGTTTTATCCACCCTCTTTTCTTGTTCTTAGGCTAATAAACAGCCGGTATTATCGCTCTCGATGACACCATGTACCAAGCACTAGGACAAAAAACAGAGCCCTCATCTGACACAGATAGCACGCCGTTGATTCAACTCGAAGTATTCCACCAGCTTCACTGCCTGAACTCGCTACGTCGGTTGATCTATAACACGTCAACATTTACCAAGGGCGTCAATGCGGAGATGCATATGGGTACGTCCTCTTCGTTTTGATATTTTGCTCAGACTGGTTAACAGATAGATAGATCACTGCATCGACTATCTCAGACAGGTAGGCCGTCTCGTTCCTCTTTCTTTTTCGACCTTGCTAATTGTGTAGAGCATTATGTGCCACAGCGACGTAACGCCATTGGTACACATCCCCCGTCCCGGTGGCTCACGAAATAATGGCACCGCCTGGATCCCTAACTTCGCTGTCAAACATACCTGTCGTAACTTTTGGAAGATACACGAGTGGGCAGCACAGTATAACACCTCTGGGTGGACGATCGAAGGGTATCCCAACCAGGGACTGGCTCTGGCGGAGTAGCTGCACTTAATGTGTATATAGGTGGTAGAAGTTTTATTGACTAGGGCGCAAAAATTTGAGCCTAGGTTACTCTAGGAACAGGATTTCGTGTGCCATACAGGAGTCGTTTCCCGCCGCCAATTCGCCGTCCCGAACTATACTTCTATTTGTTAGCTTGTTATACATCCGCTGAATTCCTTGTCAAGGAATCCACAAATCTAATATAACGGCTCCGGTAGAAATGTAGGAAGTCATTGTATCTAGGTTGCCGTAGCACGTCGGATCTTCTCAGTAGAGAGAGAATAAGGCTTACGCAAGAACGCGAAGCCCAAGCGGCTGAAATTAGGAGAATCATATGCCAAGCCCGTCACCTTTCCAATATCTTCTTCTATTCGCTGCCCGATACCAATCGCTGAAAGTAGCCATGTAGTTCTGAATGTCGATCGAATTTACCGTGAAATACTCCTCGCTATCGGGAGCACGTACTACCCTATCACGGCTTAGGAGACAAAGAATTAACCAAGCAGCGAGCAGTAGGCCAACGTAAATGAAAAGGAGGAATGGGATATATAATTGATGCCAGAAGCGAACGCTTTCTGGTTTCTTTGGACTCGGATCGGCGGGTTTCGTCGGCTCTGTTTTTGCTGTCAGTGTCCTCGAGGAGACGACTGGACACATCGTGGTTAACCATGTCGAAGATCATGGTCGTTTCGGACTGTAATGTGAAGAAAGAGTTCTCCAGTGAGTGGCCATTTTACAGTCAAGAATTCGCAGAGAATCGAAAAGGCAGACAAGGCTGACCACTGCAGATCATCTCTACTTCGTTATCTATACTAATTCGTAAAACCAACAAGTGCGGCTCACCATTATCTCCGTTGGGATTTGGAAGGAGGTAGAACATATAAGAACAATAAGAATGAGGCTCTTGGTCAAGTAATGACCTCAACTGTAGTTTCAATGGAGGGCATGCGCCTTACCATCCATTCTCCTTACCTAGGTATACCCAACTTAGGCTTAGTTGTGATGCCTTAATGCTTGATTTTGGCCTGTAGGGCTGAATTAAACCCAGCGGAAGAATGTATAATAGTAGGAAAATGATACCGTTAATTCTTCATAGATGCGATCAGCGTCTATCGCCTGTCAACTATAACGCAGCGATCTACTAGTACTAGATAATCCAAACATGCCCGCCGTGATAGAAACCTAAACGCAATCTTCCCCAACGTAATGGTACAGGCGGGAGGACTCGCGAAAACACGAATTTCATGATCCGAGACCAATCGGTCAGCTTCTCATCACTGCACGACCTGAGAACAAACCGTCAGTGCTGACCGATACTATGGCCAGAGCAAAGGGCTCAAACCTTCTCCTGCAAGGAACCCATCCACTGATCCAAGCTGACACTTTGATCGGCACGGTCCTCAACCAGCATTGTCTGAGCCCAGAGACGCAGACCGGGCTCACCATCCTCGCGAACAATGTACAGGTGAGGCACGATCATGCTGCCTACACCCTTGGCCCGGTGGTCCCGACTCTTCTCAACCACGGCCCGCACACGCTGGTTGAACTCGTTCTCGACGTCGGGGAGGGTTTGCTTGCCCACCCGCAACTGCGACTTGTCAGGGACCCCAAAGACGTCCTCGATAAGCTGCGGAACAGCATCGCGGCCAACCCAGAGGAACTGAGTTTGGCCATCGTCAATGAGGTATAGACCATAGGGTACGAGGCGGCCCGAAGACAAGTTGACAGCAGGGGGCAGGAGGGTTTCGCCGGTCTGTGGATCAGGCACACCCGCATTGTCGGGCATGTCGTGGAGTGAGTACATTCTCGGGTAGATATATTGGATGAGGAGGGGCAGGGGCAGGGTTGACAGAAGGCAGAGAGCTGCGGATCGCATGTCCGTGGGGATCTGGGCAGATTTGCGAAGACCAAGCTAGAGAAGGACCGATTAGTATAAAATGACCATCACAAACGAGATAGAGAAAACTCACGTTCTTGATCATTGCAAGGAACAGGACAGGTAAGGCTCTCAAGTTGGCAGGGAACTGGAGGCCACCACCGCTAACGCTACCACCTGCAAGCTCCTTGCGGTAGGTCTGCAGAAGCTCCACAATCTTGGCCTGAAGAGCCTCACGAGCGGGCTCAAGGCCGCTACTCAATGTGCGCTCGACGGCCTTGTGGCTGAAGAATGTGGCAATGGCCTGCTGGTCAGCCGAGGCGTAAATGTCTGCCAGGGTTTGGGTCGTTGGAAGCGCTAGGGTCAAGACACGGATACGACGTTCACCGTTACAGGTAGTGTGAAGGACAGCCGCTTGCATGCAGACAACCGGCTTGGTGACCGTCTCATCAATTGCCACTTCGACCACATAGGCCTGGTCACGAGGGAAGGCGGGGAAAGCACATAGATCGGAACTACGGTTGAAGAAGTTGCCGTAGAAGGTGCTCATGCGCAGACCAGTGGTTGCGCGCACGCGGAGAACAGCCTCCAGACCAATCTCCGAGGAGAGGTAGTCAGAGAACTCACGGGCAAACTTCATGGCATCTTCAGTCCGTGCAGCGTTCCAGCCAGGGTAGAAGTAGGTCTGACCACCAGTGTAGCGAGGCAAGCAGCTCAAAGATGCAACATCTTGGTATTGCGATGAGAAGAGGAACATATCCACAGAGACTTGAGCTTTTGAACATTCGACTGCGAAGCTCTTGTAGAATGAGTTTGCGGTTTGAAGCAGACTCGATTCCTTGCTGGTGCCCAGCACCTTCTTGTCTTCTCTCATAGTGAGCGCTCCATGACCGGTGTTGGGCAAAGATGAGCTCAGGACAGTCATTTTTCCACCGACAGGGGAGATCAACTTGTAACCAGCTCGCAATGCCGCACCCATGGCACAGCTGTTGTTTTGGGTGTTCTGGAACATTTCCTGCAGCTTGCGGAGGAATACCTCAACGTTCTCCCGGCATTCGCTCAGCGTCACCAGGAGATCACCAGGGATGGGGAGGAAAGGCTCATCCAGATCGCTGACAACCAACATCCGGGGCTCTGAGGACTCTGACTCGTCCCGAGGAATGCTGAAGTAGTGCAAGCTCGAGTCAACTGCAATAAATCCGAGGCGAGTACGGCGGTCTGCGTTCGGGATGCGATCAAGGCTCTCCTGGATAGTGCGAGCAGTAGTGGCCAAAAGACCATTGGTCACCGATGCATAGCTCACATCGATCAAGAAGAGGTAGACCAGAGGTTGGGGTGGTCGGACCATGTATTCCTGCGGCGCAACGAATTCGACCATGCTGTGGTTGAGATCGGCACGCAGAGCACGATCGGCGGGCTTTTGCAGTGTAGAATCCCAATCGAAGGCTTGTGGCACATCGTTCGTCAGGTTACACATGTTACAACGCCAGCGGTGGCCATGGTCAAGGAAAGTGACGAAGGGGTTGATATAGGAGCGGCAACGTCGGCATCGGGAGATGACTTGGTCTGGAATCACAGGAATGGGGTCCTCGGCGTCGTGAAGAGAAGCATACGGTTGGATGACAAGGGCGAAGGGCAACTTTGATTTCTTCAAGAGTGAGTTAGTTGTTGGGACAGCGTTGAGCGTGGATCGCATATATTTCGTAGGGCAATTGGCTTCGGGCGATGGGTAAACACTGGTCTGTCAATTGTTAGCATATCGACCACATACGAAATATGGTATACATACTCCCGGAGGCAAGATAACTGGAGGAGGGGGATAGTCCAGCTCAGCGACGTTAAAAGGTTGGGATCGAAGGTCCGTGGGGTAAAGCTGGTTGAGCTGGACTTGAGGTCGCATAGGGGCCTGGGCCACAGGCTGCGGGGGTGGCATGTGATGAGGCTCGCTCATGCCCATTCCACCGAATTGCTGGGTCATCTGCGAGACATCGGCGGCAACGGGCGCGCCGTATGATGGTGCCGCGGGCTGCATCTGGCTGGGGTCCGCACCGTAGGCGGGTTGTTGATATCCTGCAACTTGGGGCTGCTGAGGGTAGGCTCCGTAAGCACCCCCAGCCGTGGGTTGTCCACCGAGCGCGGCATTGGCGCCGGAGCCAAAATCGAATGCCTCACCAGCGTACGCTCTCTTCTTCTTTCCACCTGCGGCTGGTGCTGGCGCGCCTTGCCCATGGACCGGGGACTGTGTGGGTTCTGGAGAGCCGTAGGCGGGCTGGCCATACCCTTCCTGGGGAGGGAAGCCCCCTTGTGGTGCTGCCATTAGAGTCGAGTAGGTTGTGTTTAGTCGCACTTAAGGGTTGGGAGGAAAAAAGGGTTGCGCTCGTCACGAATTCGGCGGGTGGAATCAATACGAGGCGGGTGGTAACAGCTCCTGGAACCCCACAATCAGTTTCTCGTCAACAAAACGGGGTGAACCTGGTTGCGTACAGGGTAGACTGTACCTTCAGAAAACCCAGAAATATCACAAAAGGCAGTAGCGAGGCAAAGGACAGCTCACCAGAAGAAACCAAGGGAGTGTGGGAGAGGCGGTGATGATGGTCTACGGTGGCCTTTAGGTCGTGGTGCTCCAGCCAATCAGAGGCCAGGGGACATGTGACGAGAGGCGTGTTTTTATATTGTACGACAACCTTTGATAGTGAGTATAGGACGGTCTAGATGTCAATTTGAGGAATATATATGTAGTATCTGTTTTCATCGAGCTGAGTATACATATTTGTAGGTACCTGGCTAGTCAGACATGAACACCTATCCCTCGGTTCAAGCATAGAGCACAGCCATAGATTATACTATACTGTAAATTGCAATAATGAGACTATGAGATTTCCAAAAAGATCATTCAAAACGTATCAGAGTAGTTATATATATTCCAATTGTGGTGCTCGAGTGTCAAAGAATGTACTGATAACATATGTTGTAGAGCAAAGGCGGTTGCCCTGCCAACATTAACCACACCGGCTGCTGCACAAGAGAACTCCTCCACACGTTCCACAACCTTCAGTTCTGCATACACCAAGTAGTTAGTTTCGTTTCTTTGTTTTTTTGTGGAGGACTTTATTGTTCTTTATTGTTCTCCTTTTTTTTTTAGCCTTGCACTTCGTTCTAGTCATTCCTTCGGCTTTGTTTGGATTGGATCGCATCCCCATCCCTGACGTCCAGGACTCAGACCATCACACGACAATTGAATGAACACCCTGCCACAATGAGTGTCCGAGTTGTCGCGCGTATCCGCCCCCTTCTGAAGTCCGAACGAGAGGCCGATGTGATCCTTCGTACAGGATCTTCCGCTACCGACTCCAAATCACGCCAGTCAATAATTGGCGACAAGAGTGACAAGAGCGACAAGAAATTGGCAGCATTGAGAGACAGGGATAATGTGGTTCGGATTCCAAACCCCAAGAATGAGGGGGAGGAGTATGCGTTCCAATTCAATGGCGTGTACGACGCGGAGGTGTCGCAACAGGAGCTGTTTGATGCTGAAGGTGAGTTGCTGTTTCATGCTCACCAAGCCTGCGATGGGTTAGTATATTGATCGGAATAACAGTGTCGCCAACGATTAAGCATCTTCTCAACGGATTTGACGTGACCCTCTTCGCATACGGTGTCACGGGAACAGGCAAGACACACACAATGCGTGGCGGGAAAACTCTGGCGGACCGGGGTGTAATTCCCCGGCTACTCAGTGGCATCTACAGACGCAGCCGGAAGATCGAGAAGGACAGCGAGGGACAGACGACAGTGCAGGTTGCCCTGAGTTATTATGAAATCTACAACGACAAGGTGTACGACTTGTTCGAGCCGCCCGAGAAGCGCACAATGTCAGGTCTTCCTCTTCGGGATAATGGCGGCAAAACTGTGGTTTGCGGCCTGAGCGAGAAGCCGTGTACCTCTTTGAAGGAGTTTGAGCAGCTTTATGACCAGGCCAACACTAACCGGTCCACCTCGGCCACAAAGGTATGATATTATGCCAAAAGCTAGGGTTTATATTCTCTTGCTAAACATCCGAATACAGCTCAATGCCCATTCGTCTCGATCCCACGCTGTTCTCGGTGTGAAGGTCACCATCACCTCACCCGACAAGGTTCGCGTCAGCACTGCTTCCGCTATTGACCTGGCAGGATCTGAAGACAATCGACGGACGGAAAATGATAAGGAGCGCATGGTCGAATCGGCTAGCATCAACAAGAGTCTTTTCGTTTTGGCCCAGTGTGTCGAGGCTATCAACAAAAAGCAGCATCGCATCCCATACCGCGAGTCCAAGATGACAAGAATCTTGTCCTTGGGACAGAACAATGGCTTGACAGTGATGATTCTCAACCTCGCACCTGTCCGTTCTTACCAACTTGATACAATTAGCTCTCTGAACGTCGCCAATCGCACCCGGAAGATTGAGGTCCGCGAAGTAGAAAACGATCCCATGTTCAAGGGTCCGGCCCGGCCATCGATCAGGCCATCTATGGGCACGCGGCAACCTTTGCGCGCATTGACGGCTTCTGTGAACGTCAATATGCCGGCGCCTGCTGCGAAGGACTCCGCAGAAAAGGAAGACGGCAAACCTGTGAAGGCATTCAGCGTATATTCGGACAAGCCGCAACCAAAGCTTATTAGCCAGCTTCGGAAACCGGAAGCACCGAAACGTACCTCGATCTCGAACGCTCCCTCCGGCCTTCCATCATTGAAGACCGCCCGTCAGCCCCTGGGCGCGCAACCCACCGCGCGCCACGACGACTTCTCGGCTGCGAGGATCGAGGAGATGGTTGAGAGGAAGGTTGAGGAGATCTTAGCTGTGCGGGCCGTTAGCGAACAATCGAGACAGACGCAGGTCCATGAGCTTAATGAGCAGCTTAAAAAGCGATTGGAGCAGTTGGAACAGCGCATCGATGGCACAGAAGATGCGCGGGCTGAGGGTCTGTCATATCTGCTGATGGCTAAACAACATCAGGCACGTGGTGAAGACAGCTCAGCCCTGAGAATGTACCAGCTGGCAGCTCCTCATTTCCCTCACAACGAGAAACTTGCAGGCAAGATTGCTGTTCTGAAGGAGCGGGTTCATGCAAAGGCTTGGGAAGAGAAACCCCATTCCCCGCCCAAGGGGAGATTGGGTAGCATGCTCTCCCTCAAGAAGGACGTAACACAAACCCTCGGCAAACGCCAAGCGGAGAGTCACGAGTATGACGACATGGACCAGACTCACACCGGCTTTTCAAGCGACGAGGATGTTCCTCGCCCAAGACACAAGAAGCGTGCTGCAGCCAAGCTCGGTCAGATCGAGGAAGCTCCCGAACTCCTTGACAGTGAGGATCCGTCCATTTCTCCCCGAACCATGCATATCCTTTCCATTATCAACTCGAGGGACGTGAGCCAGATCAAATTGCTCAAGGGAGTGGGCGCTAAGAAGGCAGAGGCTCTTGTTGATTGTCTTTGCGAGATGGATCAGACATCATTGGATACAACCGACAGTGGAAGTGTCTCAGACCAGTCCCAATTCCAGGTCAACAGCTTGGCACAACTGAGCCAATTGAAAGGCGTTGGGGTCAAGACGGTCGAGAACATGAGACAAGGAGTATTGGCTTAATTGCTACATTTTTGGGCGGCATATACCGGAGCATAGTGGTTTCTTTTCTCTTTTCATGCATCATCCTTGAGCGACGGTGCTACGGCGTTTTCGTGTCTATACTCTTATTAGGTATTTTGGTCTATCTTTTGAATCCATCCGAGGTGCATTGGGGACATCCTTTGTAACGTTATTTCTTGGTGTTCTTTATCAGTACAATTCCTCGGTCACTTGACACAAAAGTTCGGCAAATCAAAGGTCCAACCCTGTCAGAAGCCCCTTCTCTTGCAAACCAAGCTCCTCATCCAGCTTAACCCACAGCCTTAATCTAGCCTCTGGGTCATTACAATGAGATTTCGCAGGCCCCTCCCAAATCCGATTGATATATTTCCCTCCACCACGCCCATTTTCCGCACCAACACCCTGCTTCTTAGGGTCTGGCCCTAACTCCAACGCAGTAGCTGCATGAGAAATAGCCAAGCCACCCTGTTGCGAATTGATAGCGAAATAGCGCAAAAGAAAATCCAGTCCACCTGGGGCCTTCCCCGTGTCCCGAAGATTGTCCCATATACCCGAATCCACGAAGCCGGGATGGACGCCGTTGATTGTGATATGGAGGTATTCGGGGTTCTTGAAGAGTCGAGATTGTAGCTCTGCAATCCACATTTGGAAGTAAAGTTTATTGTTTCGATAATCGCTGCCCTCCCCGCCTCGTGCGCCATTAAAATGATCGAGATCGAAGAGTCCTAGATGGTGGAAGCATGAGGTTGTGCAGATGACTCGAGGCTCGGCACTGCGAGCTAGAGATGGGAGGAGCCGTAGGGTCAGTAGTACATGGGATAAGAAGTTGACCTAGGTTTTCATTAGTGTTTGTCCGTATGTGATAGGAGTTTAAAGAGCAAGAGAAATATACCTGATGAACCAACTGGAACCCATCCTTCGTTGTATAGGTTTGCTTAGTAGACTCCGCAATACCGGCGTTGTTACATAGGATATCCAACGCGCGGTCGGATTGCAGCCATCTTTGAGAGAAAGCGTCGACACTGCTGAGATCTGCCATGTCGATTTCCCACCATTCGATAGTGGACGCATGTCCGTGCGCAGCGGCGAGCTCTTTACATTCATTCACAGCTGCTGTTGGATGCAGTTCCCATGCAGGTGGCTCACGGCAGGCGAGAATAAGATTTGCGCCCCATGATGCAAAAGACTTTGCTGCTTCGAAGCCAACGCCGTTGTTGGATCCGGTTATAATAATCCATTTGCCTGTCAGATTGGTACCGGGGACGTGTTTGTCCGTGAGAAATGTAGTATTTGCTCCCCTCACGGCCTGTACTAGGTCATATAACCCCGAGAAGATGGAAGCCATTTTAGGATAATGCTATGAAAACTAAGGACAACATGTAAGCTGGGAATGAGGGTCTTATAAAGCAATCTTGGACCGCTTTATGTCTTACCTCGGTCGGAGACTTAAGGCTTAGCCCCCATTCTTTTTGATTGAGGAGTCGGTACTTTCACCCCCGTCCAGACGTTGAAAACGTCATGAATTCTCCGAATAGGATTCTCCCAGTGGGGATTCCACACCGTTTGTTCATACAACATAGATTTGGTCTAATACAAGGAGAAATACTAGAGGGGGAATCAATTATCAATTAATTATCTATCCAGTCACATGTTATATCCTTCTAGCAACACCAATAAAGCAGAGAATATCTATAAAACAAAGATATCTAGCAAGAACACCGAAAAAAGATTTGACAAGGCCCCCATATTATACCTTGTTAAGTTTGAACCCACCAACAGCCCCCCTGGCAAAAACGAACAAAACCGACCCAACGGTCATGACAACACCACAGAATATCTGTAGTCGAGTATAATCGCCGTGGAGAACATCCGGCACCAAAGCACCACCAATGGGGGTACCAGTCAAGGCCGCAAATGAGATAACAGCAAAGAAAGTGCCATTACGCACGCCCACCTGGTGAAGATCGGAGATCTGCGCTACAAGAGCGGGTGCAAGTGAGACAAACGCACCAGAGCCAAAGCCGTATAGGGCGCTGAACAAAATTGCCGGGACGTTGCCCCTTGAGGGTAGCCAGAGGGCCAAAACGAGGATGGATGAGAAGAACGTTGTTATAACCATCATATTGAAGCGGCCAACCTTGTCAGCTAAATAACCTGGGAGTGTGCGGCCGAAGATACTATATGGATTTTGTTAATTCATCAATCATCAACGGGGTAAGGTATATGGACTCGAAAGGAAAAAAAAATCTTACCTAGAAGCATTCAAAATCGGAACCAGATACCCAGCCAGATGAGCAGACATGCCATATCTCTCGGCCTGGGTAATAACAAAAGTAAACGGCAAAAACATTCCCCAGAAGAAACAAAAAGCACCAGCAAGCGTAAGCGCGAACTTGAGCTCAGCCAACGGTCTCACGAAATTCAGGATATCAAATGGCTTAGGACGATGCGGTAATCTCGACTTCAGTGTGAGATTGGCGATACCCAACATGAACAAAATGAGGAATGCGCAGATTCTCATCGCCCAGGGGAACCCGACTTTGGGAATTAGTTGGGTGACCATGATCGGGAAGATAACTCCACCCAGACTGGATCCAGAGGCTGTTACGCCGAGGGCGAAACCACGACGCTTGGCGAACCAGGTGCTGACGGAGTTGACGGAGGCGTTGAAGATGGCGCTTGCGCCGATTGGGCTGCAGATTCCCTGTGCCAGGATGAATTGGTAGTAACCTGTTGAGAGGGAGGCCATCATTAGGCCGAAGACGTGGAGGATTGTACCGAGGAGGAGGATCCAGCGTGGGCCGTAGCTGTCGAACATGGTTCCGAATATTGGGCCCTAGGGAGACGTTAGGATTGGGGTTTGGGGTAGAGGGATGGTATACGGACGCAGAAGAACATCATGAAGGTCTCTAGCGATGTAATCCATGTTACTGTGCTGGTGGAGAACTCGCTCAGTTGGTGACTTTGGTAGTATTCTTGGAATACTCCGATGCCTGGGTGATATCAGTATCTTGTTGGAGTCATGTATTCCGACAAGACTTACAGTTTATCCAGCCGAAGCTAACGAATAAACCGCAGAAAGCTCCCAGTACGACCAGCCATGCCTGCGCACCTCCATCAGGTGGTGGACCGACCGCTGGTGTTGTCGGTGCTGGGCCAGCAGCAATTGACTTCTCGGCAGATGGTTCATCTTTTTCCGATGGCGCGAGTCCTTTTTCCGGGTCGCTATTTCCATGTACACTCACAACGGGAGTGGTGGTAGCACTGTCGATAGGAGCAGCCTCAGTCTCATTGGCCATCCTTGTTGGCTTCGAGAAATGTTCGAGCTATAGACTTGAACTGTTTGTGTTTGGAATCTGGGTTGAGGTATTAGAATATTACGTTTTGAAACAAGACCACCAATTTATAGATCCCATCCCAAATGAAGACGGGAAGTATAAAATTAAGAGACAAAATTGTGCGTTGGACAGGCTCGATTCAAAACTCACCTCAACGTCGGCCCGGCCGTTTGGTCCTTAAGCTTTAGGGCTATTGTAGATAGATTAAAATCCCCAGGGCTTTTAAGTTTCGTTCGAGTTTTAGCTGCCAATTAGGCCTATATTTAAGGCCATATATAAAAAAAGAAATATTCGAAAAAAAAGAAGCGGTCACAACTTCGGACAAAGTCGGTTTCTGGCTAAATCCGAGCTGATTGATTCTCCTTTTCATTAGCCACTAGCCCGGGGAGAGCATGGTCGCTTCAATGCGGTTGGTCGATTATTCACAGGACCCGTAACTGACGAACCAACATTTTCTTGGAAGGCTTACAGGGCTAACTGCAGCGGTCGGGCATATCTGCGTTAGCTCGAAGACCGAGGGCGGATTAAGCTGGTCATCCGGGATATTGCTCTGGGAATAAAATATGGGTCATTTGGATTCAAAACATATGAAACATGTCATTTTGGTTAGATGCAGTTGAAACAACTTAATCTCTGATATTCATCCGGAAATGAAATGAGTATTAAGTCACATTTAACTTTGCTTTTAGCCCTAGGCTCAGATGGGAAGTATATGAAGGGAAAAAAACATACTATGTGCAAGAGACTTTCCTATGTATAATCTTGGATATACGGAGTATAAACAGGGACAGAATTGATTTTGGAGACAATATCACCTAGATACTGCCTGCAGATACCTTCTTATTTGGGGGGGGGGGGGGGGGGGTTACTGTAATTCTACTGTATGCTCCGCTTAGGGCGCTGCACATGTAGAAACAACAGCACCGGCTTACTTCGTGAGCTGGATCTTTTGATTCCTTCTACTTAAAAGGGTAAAGATGACAGACACAAGAAGGATTTGAAGATAGAGGCAAAGAAAAAAAGAGATTTGTCGGCAATTGCCAAGATAAAAGAAATGCCCATACTGTACAGGATTCTACGTGATAATCATCCCAAATGGAGACCGCTCTAGCCCGTACAAAACCCAATGCGAAGAGAACTCCTCCAAGTCGACCCTTTTAAAGCGGGTCTTTCTATTTAGTTTGTGCGAGCAACTTCCTCAATTTCGACCTTTCCATCCTTGCGAATCTTCGCAACGCTTCGGCTCGTTCCTTCAATTTCTTGCTCTAATTCCTGGACAGAGCGCGTCAGGCCAGAGATATTGCTGACGGCCTTTTCGGCTTCTGTCTTTTCGGATTCTGGCTTTTCGTCTAGTGTTTTCGCGTCGTCGGTAGACCGAGGAGCGGGTGAGGTAAAGCCACTAGGAACATTGGCGATCTCATTAGCTTCCTGTGGGGACAAAACATCGTTGAGACGAGGACCGCGGGATTGCACGAGGATGGTCGTGGGACCCTCAAATTGCAGGAAGAGCTAGATGACATTTGTTAGTTGTTGGATAATAAAAACACAAAAACGGGGCTGCCATACTCTATCCCCCCAGATGGTCATTCGAGACCAGGTACGCAGCTTGTGGAACCATTGCATAGTGGTTTTGTATGCCTTGGAATCAGACACGTCACGAATGAACTTGGCATTTTGCAGAAGTCTTGGTAGTGTCGTCAGACCCGGCACCTGGAAGTTAAGAGTGGTGGATTTGAAACGGTAGGGGCGAGGAGGGTTGGTGGCCATGGTGTAAGCGACCACATTGCTGTCGATTGAATATTAGCGACGTCAGACGTGCAATCGCGATGGGGTCATACCTGGGATGCGCAATGTACTGCTCGCCATCCTTCAATTCAACCGAGTATAGCTGTCCGTTTCCAACCAACGCTATTAAACCTCTACCAGTCACTTCGGAGCTACCCCAATGAGACAAGCTCTGCACAAATTAGATTGGAGTTTCCCCTCACACGATCGCAACTCGACTCACCAGGTTTGCGTTGATAGTCGGCTTGATAGTCAGAGACCGGCCCGTCCATGCAAGCAAAGCCCGTCTTTGGGCAACCATCCAGTCCACGGAGCCATTGACGTTAACAACGGCAAAGGAGGTATTGGGCGATCGAACGGAAACGAGAGCTGTGACGGGGGTTGGTGAGGAGACCTGGGGAATTGTCAATCGATGTCTTTAGGTCCTCATCTGCGTCGCGCGTCTTACCTTCTGATAAAGAAAGGGCACTCCGACAACAGCCCTCCGGAAGGGTTCTAGAACGCTCAAGGTGGAAACCACCTGCGCAGATTATCCGTTAGCATGACCATTTCCCCAGGACAACGTTATCACGGGAGCGTGTACATTATCCGCCTTGCCGCTCAATCCAACCAGTGTTCCGCGTCGGGTGTATAGGTTCTGCGAGGCCGAGAGCGAAACGGAAAGAAGCGAATATGGAGCGCCAACGACATCGAATCGCGCATCTATATGCCCTCATTGTCAGTGTCACAATAAGACAGCCCCGGGGCAATTGCAATTACCTCGTGATTCAACAGAGCTGGGCGTGCTAGCGAGTGGCAGATTATCGCCATTAACCGAAGACACTCCCGAGGGCGCGGCGCGAATCTGAACGCATCGCGTTTGACGGTGGACGCGAGGAACAACTCGAGTCCAGGACAGAGGCCGAACACCTTGGACGGGGCGCATTGTGTTTGAAAAAAAAGAGCAACGACCAAGTGCCGAAGGGAGAATTTACGTCAGTTGTGACGAAAGGGAAATCGGGAAATCGTGGGCCCGAGAGCGATGCGGCCTATGAAGTACACAACTCCCCCTCGGAATTGCGACATTTGGCGTTTTATTATAAGAGGTTCTTGAATTACTTTCATTCTTATTTTCCGTCTTAAATTTGCTTGACTTCTTGCGACCATCCCGGACTTGCATCGAAAGCGACGGGCTTTACTCCGAAGCCGGCGATTTCCCCCCCACGAGCTATCGGAGACGTAGCTACCTTGCGCGCCAATCCTTCTTACACGCTCCCACTATGCGCTCTTGAACCTCTCTTGGTGACTCGAACTACTCCGGAGCTTAGAGAATCTCATCCAAAGCGGCCATGCTGCTCAGAGCCGCACGATCGCCGTGCTGGCGCACAGCGCAATTCGCCCACCCGAGCTTCGCCGGCAAGCTACGAGGCACACGACTCAATGGAACACACCTGCGCACGTTCACATCAAATAACAATTCACTATGGAGTCAATCCACAGACAATAAAGATCCTGCATCTGTCAAAGCTACTCCTAGCTCTGCTCCCGCACCATCACAACTAGCAAACGCCAATATCATTCAGAAGCCGGAAGATAGCGGCAATGCAAAGACCCCACCGAAGAAGGACTTGCTGAGCGAGCCCATGACTGGAAAACAAGAACAAAGGAAGGCAGACTGGGCTATTATGAAGGAAATGGCCAAGTATTTGTGGCCGAAGGTAATCCCCAAGTCCTATCGGTATAGAGTAGCAGAGTACTGACTATAGCTGGTAGAATGATTGGGGCACAAAGCTCCGTGTCAGCACGGCACTTTCACTGCTTATTGGAGCAAAGGCAAGTTTTTGCCTGGTATTTTGTTTTCTGTAAACTATGCTAATATGAACCCCAGATCCTCAATGTGGAGATCCCCTTCTACTTTAAGAACATTGTTGACTCCATGAATGTAGACTTTGCTACCCTCGGTGGCACCGCCTACACTGTGGCTGGATCGATGATCATCGCTTGTAAGGATGGCAGCATATTGAAGAATGGACTTGTCACTAATACGTTTTAGATGGTGTAACCCGAATTGGAGCTACATTGTTCCAAGAGCTCCGTAACGCGGTCTTTGCTAGCGTTGCGCAAAAAGCAATTCGGAAGGTGGCGTCAAATGTTTTTGAACATCTGTTGCGACTGGATCTCAACTTCCACCTCTCTCGCCAGACCGGAGGTCTGACCCGCGCAATTGATCGCGGTACTAAAGGCATCAGCTTCCTCCTAACCTCCATGGTTTTCCATGTGGTCCCGACAGCACTTGAAATATCGCTTGTCTGCGGTATCCTGGTATGATTTGATAACGAATATTCTTCTTACTTTACTAACGTGTTGTAGACTTATCAATATGGACTCCAATTTGCTGCGATCACAACAACAACAATGATTGCTTACACAGCGTTCACCATCACTACAACCGCATGGCGAACGAAGTTCCGGAGACAGGCCAATGCCGCTGATAACCGTGGAGCAACTGTTGCCGTGGACTCACTCATTAACTATGAGGCTGTCAAGTACTTCAATAACGAGAAATTCGAAGTGGCACGATATGACAAAGCCTTGAAGAAGTATGAAGATGCATCAATTAAGGTGACTACGTCTCTGGCATTCCTCAACTCTGGTCAAAACATGATATTCTCCTCTGCGCTGGCCGCAATGATGTACCTAGCTTGCAATGGAGTTGCAAACGGATCCATGAGTGTCGGTGACCTCGTCATGGTCAACCAGCTGGTCTTCCAGCTCTCTGTACCCCTCAACTTCTTGGGATCTGTCTACCGTGAGTTGCGCCAGTCCCTGCTGGACATGGAGACTCTTTTCAACCTGCAGAAGGTGAACGTCACCATCCAGGAACGACCCGACGCCAAGCCCCTGCAGCTGACGCAGGGCGGCAACATCCAATTTGAGAACGTCACTTTCGGCTACCACCCAGACCGACCGATTCTGAAGAATACCACCTTTACTATCCCTGCAGGACAGAAGTTCGCCATCGTAGGCTCTAGTGGTTGCGGCAAGTCTACAATCTTGCGTTTGTTGTTCCGCTTCTATGACGTCCAATCCGGCCGCATCTTGATTGACGGTCAGGATATCCGCGATGTGACCGTTGATAGCCTCCGCAAGGCAATTGGAGTGGTGCCGCAGGATACACCGCTGTTCAACGACACGATCGCCCACAACATCCGCTATGGACGGATTGATGCATCGGACGAGGAAGTGCGCCGAGCTGCGCAGCGAGCCCACATCCACAAGCTCATTGAGGGTCTGCCTGATGGCTACCAAACTGCGGTTGGTGAGCGCGGTATGATGATCTCTGGTGGCGAGAAGCAGCGGCTGGCAATTTCTCGGTTGATCCTGAAGGATCCGCAACTATTCTTCTTCGATGAGGCAGTAAGTATTTATTTCCCCCTTGGTCTACCAGCCGAGCGATTAGTTAAAGTAACTAATTACCCTCTCTTAGACATCCGCCCTAGACACCTACACGGAGCAGGCGCTCCTCCAGAATATCAACAGCATTCTCAAAGATAAGAGCCGCACAAGCGTGTTTGTGGCTCATCGCCTACGCACGATCTGCGACAGCGACCAAATTCTGGTCTTGAAGGAAGGTCATGTGGCAGAGATGGGCTCACACCGCGAGTTGCTCGAGCGTAACGGCACATATGCAGAGCTTTGGAATAGTAAGTCCTCTTTTGCCATTGCGGTCTGCAATAATTGCTAACTCGATTCTAGCCCAGGAACAGTCGCTGGCCCAGGAGGATGTTGATGAGGAGGAGCATATTCAGCCCAAGGCCTAGGATCGAGAATTTGTAGATGATCATCCAACATACAAGTGTTAGACTACCTTTAATGCCGTACTCAGGGTTTACTAGCACATAGCATCCCAATGTAATCAGCATCATGCATGTCTTGCGGACTTGTTGATTGCAGTAGGCAGTAACGTCTTCGGTGGTAGATATTAGTAAGACTCTGTAGAAAAGATAACCTGAACGAGTTCTCATCTATAGATTTCTTGATTTGCTATTCTTAAGGGACATATACCATAGGTGCTAATCCATCCTTAGGCTGATGCTTGCCTTGAGCAACACGCTTATTATGAACGACATAAATAACAATCTGCACTGCAGCACTTGCGATTCCCATAGATACCATAATGATCATGGTGCGTAGGCCCGTTGAATAACTAGACGTTGATATTAGAAACTGTTTAGCAGTGAATTTCGGGGAATGCCTTCGCTTACAATGGTTTGTCTCCTACTTGGAAATACTGTGTCCCAACCATTAAACCACTAATCGCAGACATGACCCACATACTTCAGTCAAGATCTCATTAGCTCCCGTCAAGGCCAAATAAGAAGATAGGAAGAACTCACGCGATACTGATACTCCGCTCCCTCGGATCCCGACAGTTGAGTTGAACCCAGAAGTTATGTATTGGGTGATATCCCACAGCTAAACTGTTCACAGCAGTCCAAAGTCCCCAACGTGACCATTTACCGGCATGGGGCTGGACCTTGAACGTTACTATCAAGACAATGAGGTAGCAGACTTGCGCAGCAATCACAGTTGCACCACGCTGATTAGTTCGATCGCTCATGTAGGCGAAGAAGAATACCACTCCAAGGGATAGGGATGCGCCGACTGCGGCTAGGGCATTTGCTGCTGTTCTGTCGAAGCCGAGTGACCTATATAAAATGGGTTAACCACAATCCATTGGGGTTCAAAGTTGAGATTGAGATGTGTAGGTGTAGGCTAACTCATCTATCAACGGCAGTGAAGACTTACATGATGATGGATGGCGTGTAAGTGGTTAGAGGACTCCACGTCGAAAAAACGACGAATGTAGAAACAAAGTGCGGCCAGCGGCGATAGCAAGCCACAGTACGGAAGACCACTTTCAACGGGATATGTACGCCATATGCGCCCTCAGTACTTCCGCCATTGTCGATTTCGAGTCGTTTTTGAAAAATGTCCTTCTCGGAATCAGAGAACTTGATAAGTCCCGGACTCAATAATGGCCTGGTGAGACCGGGTGATCCTGGTAGGAAGAGGGATAGGAGAAATGAGACGGAGATAGTGAATAACCCCTCAACTGTTGATGAGTTAGCGAATGCCGACTTGGGCGTAGAACATATGCATACTTAGGAAGAGCCATTTCCATCCTCTGATACCGTGTCGACCGTCAAGAATTAGAATGCCCGAGGCTAGAATAGGACTTAAGGCATTTCCACCAAACATGCCAAAGAAGAAAATGGCAACTCTCTTGGCCAATTCCCTTTTTGTATACCATGACGATAAAGTGTAGACTGCACCAGGAATATACCCTGCCTCAGCGAACCCTAGAAGCAGTCGTATAGCCAGGAAAGATCCTCTATTGCGAACAAAAACCTGCATGGTAGCAAGTAAACCGAAGAGAAAGACCTGAGCAGAAATCCACGTGCGAGGGCCAATCTGTCAAAGTTCCCGTTAGAATCATATCTTCCAGAGAGGTTGTTATCATACATACCCGTTGCAAGGCCATATTACATGGTATTTCAAAGACCACGATACCCATAAACATGAGCTGATTTCCCAAATTGATCGTGGATTGTGAAATGTTGATATCAGCTGCAAAACCGCCAGTCAATGCACTCGCAATGTTCATGCGATCTAGCTGGAAGACAAGAAGACCGAGAAAAAGCAGAGGCAGCACTGTCATATCGATCCTTGGGAGAAGTAAATGTCAGTGTTGAATTCTTGATATTCTATCTACAGGGGGTTCATTGGTAGTTACTTCCTGCGCGCCTTCTGCTCCTGGCTGGGATCCCATTCTGGCAATACGCCCAGCGTTGATGAAGAGTCGCTACCCTTGGGATCTAGCTTCTCATTGTTCACCTTGAGATCCATACTATATCATTCCCCTCAGGGAGACTGGTAAAAGGAACCTTGTTAATACCCTAACGGGAGAAGTAGAAACAGAAACAGAAACAGAAACAGCAGAACCCGATGAAAATTGCAAGTATAAACTACGGAGTATAAATTATAGACTTCATGTCTTAGTCTTCTCGCTACTAGATATTTACTTCATTGGCCCTACTCCGTATCATAATTTATAATATGGCGTGCTACGTGAAATCCCTCCTTAAAAACCGTACTCCGAACCTTCGAAACGCTGTTGAACCACAATTCTTTTCTTCGGCCGCGTCTTACTTTAACGGGATTTGAAGGGGTTTGAAAATAAATTTGGCAGATGAAGTATTCTGGCGTCGTAACTGGTTCGCCCGTGCTCGTAGCCCCGCGACACCAAATTGCGTGACAAGGCCCATAAACGACGAGAGCAACGAACCCTAGATCGGGGCTAAATTCCCCCAGATCGGCATTTGCAGCGGGATCTCCCTCATTGCTATATATCGCAATTATATCGGGATTATATCAGGATTCTTCTATTTCAGTAATCTATTATTTAAATCATTATAATTTATGATGGTGCCTGTTAAACGTGTCGCAGTCATTGGTGCCGGGCCCGCGGGAGCCATTGCGATAGATGCTCTGGCGCAAGAAAAGGCGTTTGATATTATCCGTATATTTGAGCGTCGCGAGGGCGCTGGAGGATGCTGGTTCGTTGATTTTTCTCTAAATCTTTTTCGGAGATGACTGACATGAAAAACACAGGATTGGCGACTCATCGCAGCCTCCAACACTCCGCGACTTTGCGTCTTTAGCGACAAGAACAGCTGATCCACCACTACCTATCCCCGAAAACCTGCCTGCACAGACTCCAAAGTCAGACCAGCCTCGCTTCACTGAGTCATCCGTTTACCCTTATTTGGAAACCAATATCGACTTCCTACCCATGCAGTTTGCTCAAGAACCTTTCCCAACAGAACGCAGCGAACTCTCTATATCTCACCACGGACCTGAAACCCCATTTAGAAAGTGGAATGTGGTTCGAAAATACGTTGAGAGTCTTGTCGATCGCCGGGGTTACAGCGACTTTGTTTCATACAACACCACAGTTGAACTGGTCGAGAAGGTGGGGATGGAGTGGAAAGTAACACTCCGTAAAAATGGACAACAGAGTGATTACTGGTGGGTTGAGTGGTTTGATGCGGTTGTCGTCGCGAGTGGGCACTTCTGGGTTCCATATATACCCTCGATAGAAGGCCTGGAGGCATTTGAGAAGACCAGACCGGGCAGCGTGATTCACAGCAAACACTTCCGCGGGAGAGAAACGTTTGCTGGCAAGGTAAGCGGGATTCCCAAATTGAACAACTACATTGCCTCAGTGTCATTATGTTAACGTGATTATTCCAGCGAGTTGTGGTCGTGGGCGCATCCGTCTCAGCGGCCGACATCGCAGTAGATCTGGTGGAAACAGCAAAGGCACCAGTCCATGCAATCACAATTGGCCATGCCGCTAACGGGTATTTCGGCGATGAGGCATTTAACCACCCCAAGATCCAAAAACATCCCTCAATAGAACGAGTCTCGAACAGGACTGTGCACTTGACGAACGGGAATTCTATTACGGACGTTGACCACATAGTCTTCGGAACAGGCTACAGCTGGACACTGCCATTCCTAACGACAGTTCCAGTTCGCAATAACCGGGTTCCCGATCTGTATCAACACGTTGTCTGGCAAAAAGACCCGACATTATTGTTTGTCGGCGCCGTCGCGGCTGGTCTGACGTTCAAGGTCTTCGAATGGCAATCGGTTTTGGCTGCACGGCTGCTGGCTGGCCGAGCTACTCTACCATCTGCTGAAGAGATGCAAAAATGGGAAATGGATCGTGTTAAGGCTCGGGGTGATGGGGTCAAATTTACGCTGCTCTTCCCAGACTTCGAAGACTACTTTGAGACGTTGAGACGTCTAGCTGGCGAGGGGGTGGAGGGCAAGGGGCGCAAGCTGCCCAAGTTTCGCCGCGAATGGGTGAGGGCATTTTTTGAGGGACATGAACGACGCAAGGCTATGTGGAAGAGGTTGAACTTGAAATCTCGGGCGGCTTTGAATACTGAGACTGTCCATAAGGAAGTAGCTCGGCTTTGAAGACCGGGATTCCACAATATATCAAGTTTATTTATCAGGGTCAGCCCCCATATACTATCGAATCGGCCTCTCTTTTTAAGTCTGCCCATGTCGTCGTCAGGTACATGGCACAGGCCATATGATATTCCACATGGCCTGCTACATACATTTTCCGTCTTTCATTTCCCGCTCGGCTAGAATTTTTTCAAGGCATGGATCTCTCAACCTTGGTTATTAGAAGCCCCTATCTGTGATCTGATTACAACGCACCGCCTTTGGAGTTCGAACCCAAAGAAGCCAGTGAATCTGGAGATATACACCAAGTCCAAAATCCATGAAAATCCGACAAGATATCCACAAATGACTTATTCTATACCCGACCTGGGCACAGCAGCACGGTCATATGGATGTACCTAGCTGCTTACCTTGTAGACTATGGTGCTCCTATGCGGAATACCACGTCGAGAGTGCCATTTACTTTTATTTGAATTAAATATTGACCAACTGCATCAACTTCCGAAACAGGAAAGAGGCTATGTGTTGTCAAGTCTCACATCTGCCCTGGAGCCTCAAGGCGACTGGCAAAAACCGAGTCGTTATCCAAGCAATGCAACTAGATACTGTGCATATATGATTGACCAACAGGAGGCTTCATGTTCCTTTATATACCCTGTTCTATACCCTTGTTTATGCCCTATGCAACGCCCAGTGCTGTGCCTCGTCCTATTTCCAAATGTCGACCCCGGCACCTCAAGGCAGACTCGATTCCAACGGATTTCCCTCTATTCTTTTTATAAATACCTTCATGATCTCCCAACCTTTCCATCATTCAGACACTTTCACTTCCAATCTATTATTTATATCATTCACCAAGCTTTGTCACTGGATCATAGGACATTATGGTCGGACGTTATATCTTTCCGGCCCCCTCGGATGAGGCACTCCAGGTCTTCGAAGAGAAAATCAACTATCCTTTTGGAAATGACGCTCTGCCGCGCGAGGCGCTTCAAGCCTTCGGCATTTCAATGAAGATGGCCATAAGGAACTTGCCTTCATCGGTAGCATAATTCTCAACCTGGTCATTGTGAACTCTGGTTACAGTAAAAATAAGACGAGAAGTAAGCGTTTCACCCCGGCTACTTTACTTTTACTTTATTCGATCAACTTATGCTCTGATTAGAAGAAATCTGCGATATGATCAAGCAGAGGGTTAGAAATGCCCACCGCGCCAAGCAGGGGTTTATCCATGGCATTAACAGATTCGTCGTCACACACCCCTCCCGATCTGGCATTATGCCCAATGTCATGGCCACCGGGGCGGGCGGGAGCAAATCCAGGCCGTGGGTGCTTTTCATTCGACATTGTGGTGGCTTGCAATGGCATGCCCTTGTATGCCACAGCACTATTTAATTAGTCTCTCCCATTGCCTGAATTTGGTCCCGCTTGCTCCCACGTCGGGGTGTTCTGTATATTTCCATGGTCTAGAATTGGCTCCTCCAAGGACATACCGAGAGAGGTTATGACGGAAGGGATGAGAACTGAGGAGGGATGTGGACTATGAATTGAGAACTAGGGAGAGAATTGGAATAACTGCTGAACTGATTCTGGTATTATGATCACTTTTTAGTCGTATGTCTTGATGGACAGCAGCTTAATGCTCGAAACACGTATGCTTCAGTCATAAAACTATATATAGGAGGTAGGTAAATAAGCTAGTGATGATCTACATGGGCCTAGAGTTTAGATCGACCAATCTTTTATTTTCGTTCTTGGCTGCTGGTTGAGGAAGGTCACAAGGTGGTGAATTTGGTTCTAATTTCTCAATTCTATATATAGCCTCGACTATTAACCACCATCTTTTCAATCCCCTCGAATCTTATTCCAAACATCCTCAAAGCCCTCGAAACTTGGAATATCCTTCACCCGCAGTTGGTCCAAGACACCTTCGACCGGAGCTCCGTTTCCAATCAGCATTCTAGCAATCTTCAAATAATCTTCATTATGGTCTTCACAGTCCTCCCAGTCTTCATCATCTCCAGTATACCATGCCTGTGGATCTAATGCTATGTGTAGAGCAGTCGGTCCACATATTCTTCCGTCGTACCTTTTGAAGAATCCGGCATTCGCACTCACATCTGCACCATGCTTCAAAAGAAGCTCAATAATGTCGACGTTACCCTCGAGTATAGCCAAATGGAGAGCGTGGCCATTCCATGATTTCTGGTCAAGGTCAGAACCCGCTAAAGAATCCTCATCAAAATGTGTTGTGGAAGCGCAGACGTCAGCTCCAGCAGCAATTAGTTTCTCGATTATTTCCATGTGATGTGTGCCATGAAGTGGACGCCATCCACAATTATCAGCTCTTTCTATATCAACGTTGCATTCCAGCAAGAAAGATACTGCTTTTGTCATTCCACGAGCACATGCATGATAGAGAAGTGAAGGATGCTTTCCACAAAGTGTGACACAAGAGTTGAAATCGCTCTCGAGCTTGAGAAGATGCAGAAACATAGTCTCATCCCCACTTTCCAAAGCTTCCCAAAGCATTGTGTTTCCTTTTTCGTTCGTTATGTTTGATATCTGCTGACAAATTTCTTCGTCTCGGAGGGAGACTCTTGCCTCAACGGAGCGATAGGGATGATGATGGGAGATATGTTGGACTATATTCACTGGAAGAAGGCGCCATACTATATCATTATGACCCGAGGCGAATGCAGCACAATGGATGGGGAAAAAGCCATCTTCATTTGGTATATCTGCATAGGCACCATGGGAGATCAAACTGATGACCAAATCGGTGTTCCCTGTATTTGCGGCGAAATGCAACAATGTTTCTTCATTTGAGTATTTGTAGTTGAGCTTGCCGGCGAGTTTCAATGCCTGACATATGCAGTCAAATATATCTTTGTTGCTCAGCTGGCCCTGGTACTCCAAATGTTGGGTCCAATGGCCCGGTTTGGGCGAGTTTGAGGCATGCGCTAACAGACAACGCAGGGGCTCAGTGTTGTTGACTGCCGCAGCCGTCAAAATTGGATCAAATCCATTCTCAAAAGAATGGAAACAATCGGCACCAAGCTCCAATAGAGCGGCCGTAATCTGCGCAATCGGAATCTTCTCGGCTGCGAGAAGAAGAGGAGTTGTTTTTATTTCTGAGTTGCAAAAGTTCACGTCTGCGCCCGCCGACACCAAACTAGTCAGAATGGGCTTGGAAGCCTGCGCCATCTTGTCGTGTGGAAGCCGTGGTTTTTGAAGGTTGTTCTTCGCACGTGCTTGTGCACACACCCGACTAAACTCAGAGCGAGACAGTGTCTTTCTAGATAAAGAAAGTAAAGAGGAACGCACGGCGAAAAATCGGTCATCAATGCTCTTTATCAGTTCCAAAACAGCGTCATCGCTTGGCGACATACCACTCCCGATAAGACTCGCGACAATTTGAGATTCAAGGTCTCTAGCCGCGTCCGTCACAATAGGCCGAAAGCTAGAGCTGGTGGGGGGCTCCGCTCCAAAGTTCACCAAGAGACGAGCTATGCTCCAAGCTCTCTGCTTCAATGCACTAGTCAGTGGCGTGTCTAATTGAATATCTCCATCGTCCAAAAAGTTGGAAACAACGGATTGACACGTTTTCTGGGCCAATAATGAGATGACGACGTCTTCTGATAGCCCTTGGAGCAGTAGGCGAAGAACTTCTTCAACCTCTTCCACATCCCAGCTCGGCTTCACAGCTTCCATCATGGTATGGATTGGTGTCCGCCCACTCTCATCGACAGTCTCAATCGTAGACCCAGCTGCCATCAAAAGTTCAGTGCATTTCACACTGCGGCACGTTGCTGCCACGTGCAAAGCAGTCTTTCCTTCTTCATCTTTGAACTCGAGACTGGCCCCTTTTGAAAGTAGCATGCGAACCATTTCAGTTCCCGAGTCCCTCCTTTCCTGATCCCCAATATCAGCGCCGGCAAGAGAAACGGCCATCATCAGGCAGGTTCGCCATCCACCTTTGTTACAAATCCACATGTTCGACCACTGATTGACATCTGCACCACCCTCAATCAGAGCTTGTGCTGTCTCAACGAATCCGTTCGTTACTGCGACACTCAAGGCAGTCTGGTTATACCCATCTAGGAGTTCAGGCCGTGCCCCTTTAGATAACAAAAGCAATGCAAATTGTGGGTCTTGTTCACTCGCGGCTGCATGCAAAAGTGTTCCATTGTGATTGACATGAGCACCGTCACTGTCGAGAATGACTTTTGCTGTTTCCAAGTTCCCGAGGGAGATAGCAGTGCGCAGTATAGACTCGTTCATTTCAGCCTGTAGTTCTTTGGAACTCTTTTCCAGCAGAAGCTGCACAAAACGTGGGTCTCTCTGATGCGCGGCAAGGTCCAACAGCGGTCCTTTTTCAGAAAAGTAATTCACATCTGCACCAAGTTCGAGGAACAGTTTAGCTGCCTGAAAGTCTCCATCCTGGATAGCGGAGACAAGTAGATTTGACTTCCATGCTGATGGATCTTCCTTCGTGAATTCATACCAGAAGTAATTTCTGGGGTCTTCCTCCATGTATGTCTCTCCGGCAATCAACTCACTTGGATGGCTTGCCTCTCCATTTATTTGTGACTTGAATGTGTTTCTCCACGTGCTCTGGGCAATAGGGACTCTAAATCTCTCTCTTGACCAGATCTTCTGGAAATCTTCCCCTCCGGTAGAATCCGGTGCATCAAAGTGGGCCACAAGCAGGTCGAATATTTTAGCATTCTTGCCCTCAGCTGCTATTTGCATTGGCGAAGTGTTTTCTGGTGTGTTCAATCGTCTCACGTCCTCGACGCTGAGGGTCCGAATATCAGCCTTAGTAACACGCGACAACTGCGCTTGATGATGTTGCACAAGCTCCAAAACCACCTCGGCTTCACCACGGGATATAGCCCAGTGTAATGCTGTCCAACCATATTTGCTGCGATTTGTATAATTTGCATGCTCGGATAATAGAAGACGAACAATGTCCAAACTTCCAGTGAATGATGCCCAGAAAAGAGGGGTCCAATCTTGATTATCTGTGGCATCGACATCTGCCCCATTTCTCACGAGAATTTCGGCAGAAGAAAAATGACCGTTTGCACAGGAGTAGTGGAGAGGTGTCCACCCTTGAGTATCTGTTAGACATGTACTGAGTCCTGACTCGATCAGGGTCCTGAGGGTTCCCGTAAGATTCCAATAAGCCGCGACATGCAATGCTGTTTGATCTTGAGGGATTGAATCAAAAAGAGAGTCCAAGAGATCAATTTCCAGCTTATTACGGAAATGTAACGCTTGAACGGCGGCATTCAGGAGCTTGTCGTTGCATATAAAAAACTGAACAAGGGACTTTAGATCTTCCTCCACGCTTTCTATCTCTTTGATATGTCTTGCCCAATGCCGCGAAGCATAATCCAGAAACAGCATTTTATCAAAGCGGCAGGACATCTCCACGCGACTTGTGCATGGCCCTTCCTTGAACGGACTGAGACACATGTAGCGTAGACATGTCTCTGCGATGTCGGTCTCCATGTCACAAGATAGCAACACCGTGGATCCGAAGAAGTCGTAAGCAGTCGCATGAACCATTGCAACCGTCTTGTCTTCATGTAATACCACTAGACCAACACATGATCGAAGGAGAAGATCAGGGCTGACGAAGTTATCTTCTTCAATGTAATTCTCGTCATCTTCGACAGCGAAAGCATGGATTACTTCATCGATTTTTAGACGTCTTTTAGCAAAGACAACCCATCCGATAAATCGCCGAGCAAGTTCCCTCTTTGCCATTGGTTGCATATCAATTCGCTGTAGTGTCGATTGGTAAACTTGATTCAACCCCGTCGACTGTTTTTCGAGGGCCTTTTGCATATGGCGAACAGTAGTGAGATCCAAGATCTCGTCCAAAACAAGCTTGGTATGTAAAAACCTAGTATCTAGTCAGCGCTATACTCACCTACCAGTAGTGGTTCATACATATTCCCCGACTTTTCCATGATTTTCCCGATCAACTTTTGTGCCCCTCGAGGAAGCTCGTTCTTTTGAAAGCGAGAGTCGATGTAGATCTCTAAGTCTTCAACTTGCGAACATATTTCTATCTTGGTTGCAAAATCCATAGCCTTCCTGATATGGCCAAGGTCTCGACTGGTGACCATTACTTTGCACCCATTTTCGACAAAAGAAGACAGGTAAGGCAGCAAACCATCTGCTCCAGTCACCTCATCTAGGCCGTCAACTAGGAGGTATGTCGACTTCAGCTCACATGCCGTTGCAAATGATTCGGTGAGTCCTACGGGCTCACGCTGCTTCATTGGGTCGACGAATAGATGTTTCATTGCGAAAAGCACTTTTTCATCTGCTTGCTCGATTACTTGCCGGATCATGCATTGCAGGATTGCTGTGAGGGTTTGTTGCTCCCGTGATGAGAACTGACAAAATACATATACCACGGAGCATGTAGTCTCTGATCTCTGATCCCATAGGTTCCCAATTGTGATTGATCTAGCTGTGTTAGACATTGCAAATCCATGAATAGGAGACTTTGAGAAGCACGTACGAAAGTAGCGATTTGCCGACACCAGCTATTATCGGTTAGCAAGATCGTGATACGTTATAGGAAATCCTCGGAAAGAAGTGCTTCGTACGGGCTCCGTAGCACCAGAGCAGGGATGGGTCTCCGGTACGCCAGTTCTCCACATCTTGAGAGTTCAAAAACCATTTTCCAGTTCCAGGGCAAGCATTTGGTCTGGATCGTAGAAGATTATCTGATGCTGGGAAAAGAGAGTAAAGATACTGCCTCATTTGCTCTGAAGTTCCGATTAGAGTTATGGTGAGGACTCATGCCATTCAAAGGACCCCATACCTTGATCGATGCCTGCCACCTTTTTGTATGTAGCAGTGGTAACTGACCTGTTACAGATTAGTTAATTTGCTTTCCAAATGGTTACCTTGGAGGGGAGATGGGTCTTCGAACATGATATTTGTCGAGAGAAAATCGGCAAAGAGAGATCGGTAACGATGCAAAAGATCAATGTATTTCTTGACCTCTTTTTCCTGAAACGGCCATACTAGGCGGCGTAGTCGCTTGTCGAGATCGACGTGAAGGGCTAACAAGTGGCGGCGGCACTCTTGAAGAGCTTCTTCATTGAGCGAAGAGGGCCATGACGGCAGATCTAAATCGGTAGACTCTGCCTCTTGTATAGCCTTTTCCACCCGAAAAAGAACATCTGTGAGCGCCGAAACCTCTTGCAGATATAGCTTTTGTGTTTTGGGAGCTGACTTGATGTCTGAGACGTAGCTGTAGCTGAGTTTGGTAATTTGTCCCGCAATCTGGACAAGGCCAGCAATACTGGCGACAAGGCCCACTAGCTCGGCCATGGTCTCCTTGGTATAGCTTTAGATTGGAAAGGCCGTAAATATGCAAAGGTTGTGTCAGAACCCAAGTGGGGTTAGGTACAATGCCAGAATACGAAGCGATCAACCCAATCAAGCATAGCGCGGGGCATGGTTATAGATTGAGGTCCGCATGGCTCTAGAGGTTTCCTCTGCTACTTCATAGCTTTCCCTTCCCGTTTTGTTGTTCACACCGATCTCTAGAGGCATGCATGAACGCGCCTTGTGTTTAATCACCCCGGATTGATGTTCAAGCGGGGGTCCGTCCCGAGGTCGGGACCGCATGGCTCCGGGCCCAATGAGACAGACTGATATTCAGGAGCTAATACCGAACCACCGCGCTGGTGGGCAGGTTGAAATGATTTCTTGGGCATTCCTAGGTTTAGGAGATGCGTTTGATCTTGGGCGGAGAGTGCCGGCCAATAATACTCAGTGAACATCCTATGTACATAACTCCTCAGAAGGTTGGAAGATGGCTATTCCGAGCCGCAGGTGTGACCCGTGGACCCAATGGCGAATAAGGTAGGTACGTTCCAAGGTTAACTCTCACAGGCACCCGCCTAACCTTCCAAGCTTGGAAGGCAGATCTACGTCACTGTTTCCTGTTCCTATTCGTATGTCGTGGTGATGGGATACCCTGTCTCTTTTCGGGAGGTTGTCGGAAAAGTATCGAAATATCATCAGCTATGATTCTGAGGCATTTGACGATGATGAAAATGCGGAGCACAACCGGTGATTTATCGGATTAGCCTTACTCGGTTCGGGATCTGCCAACGCCGATCTGCCATGTCGATCACGATCAATATGGACTCGATGTAACTCTGTGTCCATTTTTTCTATTGAACAGCAGCTTACTCATGCATTCAGCATCCTTCAATTTTCGCGTGAGGGATCAATGTGAAACTCAATTCCCGAGGTGTCCGCTTGTTAGGAGACCCAATTTCCGATTCACTGCGGCGGTTGGAGTATATATAAAAAGGCTGCGATCCCTAAAATATTCCGAAGACCACAAAATCACAAAATCATCCCGACATCATGTTAGCATTGAATGTTTTGACTGCACTGTTGGCACCAGGTGTGCTATCATCTGCTTTGCCTGCTCGCGATCTCCATGCACGTGCCGACTTAGATGCTGCTGGTGCTCTTAAGGGCATTCTAAACAACATCGGCGCCGATGGGTCTGCTGTTTCTGGAGCATCTGCCGGCATTGTGGTAGCATCCCCATCCAAATCGGACCCCGATTGTGAATCCTTCCCTCCTCAAATTTGAATGACAGTAACTAATAGCTGCTAGACTTTTATACCTGGACTCGTGATGCAGCCTTGACATTCAAGGTCTTGATTGATGAGTTCATTGCCGGAGATACGTCGCTGGAATCCACCATCCACGATTACATCTCTGCTCAAGCGAAGCTGCAGGCCGTGTCTAACCCATCTGGTGACTTGTCCGATGGATCAGGACTTGCAGAGCCCAAGTATAACGTGGACTTGACCGCCTTTACAGGTGCCTGGGGTCGTCCTCAGCGTGATGGACCTGCTCTGCGCGCGACAGCTTTGATCACCTACGGTAACTATCTGATTTCCAAAGAAAAGAATTCTGTCGTCAAGTCGAACATCTGGCCCATCGTGCAAAATGATCTCAGCTATGTTGCGCAATACTGGAACAAAACCGGATTCGATCTGTGGGAGGAAGTCGAGGGCTCCTCATTCTTCACTATTGCTGCTCAACACCGCGCGTTGGTAGAAGGCACCGCATTTGCCAAGGCACTGGGAGAGACCTGCGATGGATGTGATTCCCAGGCACCTCAAGTCTTATGCTTCCTGCAGACCTTCTGGAATGGCAAGGCTGTAGTTTCCAACCTGGCCAACAATGGCCGAACCGGTCTCGATGCGAACTCTGTGCTTGCTTCGATCGGGAACTTCGACCCCAAGGGCACCTGCGATGATGCAACCTTCCAGCCTTGCTCTGCTCGTGCTCTTTCAAACCACAAGCTATACGTTGACTCGTTCCGTTCGATCTATGATGTGAACAGCGGTAAGAAGGCTGGAAGTGCCGTTGCTGTTGGGCGTTATGCCGAAGACACTTACCAGGGCGGCAACCCATGGTATGCGAATCTTTCGTTTTCATTTGATTAGCTTCAATCTTTGCTAATATTTCCAGGTATTTGACAACACTGGCTGCGGCTGAGCAGTTGTATGATGCTCTTTACCAGTGGAATCAACAAAAATCACTCACCATAACCGATACCAGTCTTCCTTTCTTCAAGGATCTGGTTTCATCTGCCGCTACCGGAAACTATTCCAGCTCTTCGGACACTTACACTTCCGTCACGAAAGCAGTCAAAACATATGCCGATGGATTCGTGGCTGTCGTTAACAAGTACACGCCCAGCGGTGGGGCTCTAGCCGAACAATTCACTCGGGCTGACGGCACCCCGACCTCTGCTAAAGACTTGACCTGGTCTTACGCAGCATTCCTGTCTGCTGTCCGGCGTGGGGCTGGAAAAGTACCCACTAGCTGGGGCGCGTCGAAAGCTAATAAGGTACCCTCGACGTGTAAGGGAAGCTCGGCCACGGGAAGTTACACGACGCCATCAGTCGGCTCGTGGTAAATATCAAGGGAGAGTGAATGACAGAAACCTGAAGTACGAGCAATGTATGGTATGGATGACAGATGTATTATTTTCTCTAACTCTCTACAATGACAATACCCGCTATTTCAACAATCTGTGGGGACATCGATGACTGACTGTATTATGTACTTTTGAATGATATGTCTGATACCAAGTGTCATATGATCTTCTGGGTAAAACAATGTGGGCCCTAGACTCTCTGCTTGGGACACTACTAGATGTCTGCAAGATTTGAAGAAGCAGAAGATCCAAGGAACCATATCTCGATGAAGGCTTTTTATCAAAAATGACTTACATCTCTACGTGGGGAATATTTTACAATATCTAAGTTATGGTACTGATGCTAGCATTGATAACTTAGCATTTTGATGCTTCATCTTCTGAAGCATCACAGGGCTTGATTACTTTCTTGCAATGGTCTTATGATACCAAAGCATTATGTGTGAAATGGTCCGTTCGAATTTAAATTTTTCATTTGTCCTAGATGAAAGCTTTTCGAGATATAGCCGCTCGCGAACCGCGTATTCTTTTGCGGGCAAGGGGCAAGAAGCTAACGAGAGATAAAGTTACACAACCAACTTACAGTATTAAAAGAAAATGAAGGGGAGATAGAAGGATGCTATTTAACATAAAGGTTTAACAAGCTTCTGCAGTGTTGCACTTGGTTCGTATCAAACACGGCCATCACATATTCTTTAGCTGGTCAAGTACGCTTTCTAGGTTCCGTCCTGTAGCGCTTGCATGCTCCGCAAAAATTGCTAAATAGGCATTATAGATCAGTATACCTAAGAAGGGAAGGATTTGTAAATGGATTGTACCATCAGGTGTTCATCTAGAACTATCTCGTGCATCTTTCCGCCTAAGAACCAAGTTGCGGGGCTTATGCTTGACTCTGTTTGGCGAGGGATTTGACTTGGGATATAGAGGCGGGGATAACTTGATGCTTCTAGTAATGAAAACAAATTATTAGCCTGGGCTAAATAAAACTCTCGCACACTAATAACATACCAAAGCCAAAGTATTGCGAATCGTGGAAAAACGTAAGTTTACATCTATCTTCAGCACTAGCTACGGAGGCTGATATAAGGGGACTAGCAGCACGGAGTGCACTACCAACCCCTTGTTCGATCAAAAAGTAAGTTTCTTCTGGGTTACCAACAATAATAGGCACCTTCCTAGTAACCAGATTTCCTCTCGCATCATAGGTAATAAAATCTGTTGTGACCTGATGAAAATATCGCGTGGTGCGAGCGCTTCTAGTGTAGCGCAAGGAAGAGAAGGGCCAGAAAGCCGTGCGAAACATATGGGATCGGACTAATTGAAGACTTAAGTCGGTCAAGAGAGTAAGCAATTCCTTCGTATTCAAGGCGTACAATGGGCTGTATGGGTTGCAGAATACACAAGTATAATGTGACAGATTCAATTGGGGTAAAAAATGAAAAGGGTAGTGCGTCGGGCTGAAAGCAAATGCGTAGTATCCGGTGGAGGCTAGAGTAAAAGAAAGGGGGCGGCGATAAGTGTAAGATGGGAGAATGAAAAAGTGAGAGAGGAGAAAGAGCGGCGAACACAGGTCTTTGATGTCGGCGGCATTCAAGGGAGGTTACATGACAGCATATCGGAGCGCTAAACCCAAAAAAGCAAAACTAACCATACGTAGTAATTCTTAAGTCCACCGTTTACAATATCAGATAAATACGCTAGTATATAGATTAGTATCACCTTATTTTACTCGCCAATTTCGTTGAATTTAGGTATTAAATGACTTCTGTGGCCATTAAGTATCAAAAGACGGTATACCCCCTTCGTACGCGGAGTACTAGGAATAAAGAGTTTATGGTATGCTTTGACTATATCCTAGATTCGATCCTCGATTTTTTCTATTTTTTCTGACATCGTGGTGTAGCAGTAAAATGGGTAGGAAGTTGATGGAATGGCGAAAATATTACATCTAGTGGGGCACACCAATACCTAGTACCTGATTTTCCACGAGGCTCAAATATCAGGAACCGTGGGGCACCGTAGCATTTTGCGAAGGGGCAGAGCAGCCAAAGGTCAAAATGCCTTGATATGCCTGAATTATAGACTTTCGACAGCGCTCTATACCGTATACTGTAAGTTGAAGCTATTTCTAGTTATACATACCATATATAAGAATAGTTGGCTGGTTATACGGCTTTATGTCTTTTTAGGTGATGTGTCCAGATATACTTTTGCTAGTCATTTTAGGTATACACAAAAGCGGTAAAAAAAAGCTCACATTGTGTAAGAGACTTTGAAATCTCTATATTCCTCGAAATTGAAGCTATTCCCACCCCACGCCATTAGTTTCTTCGAATCGCCAACATCGAAAACCGTTCCGAACCGCGCAAAATGCCTTCTTATATTAATCTCGAGAGATTTGGTCGGTCGCAATAGCTTCAACGCCTAGAAATAGGCGCATATGGTGATTTATATGGTAGGAATAACTTCATTCTTATGAACTACCTAGCCCACGGGTGGATACTTTGCTTATTAACTAAACCATCTGTTACAATTCAGGCATATTTAGGCCTCGAGCCTACAAAATCAAGCATTTGACCTTTGACCCTACCCCTTCGCAAGCATCGTCCATCTCTGATAGGTATATACTAAACATAAGTAGACTCAACGTCCGCGGGCTGCGTGCCGCGCATGCGACTTCAAAAGTGCTTGTATGAACGTTGTTTGCCGAACCCGCGATTTTGCCGTATTTGTACGGATCGGGAAATTCGTCTAATCAATCTCATCAAACATGGATAGGGCTAGTCTTGAATGGGGATTTAGGTGCTACTTAGTGTTAAGAATCTCTTTTGGGTTCCTCTACATTATAGTTTTATTTATTGGAATAGTTTGAGTTGATAATCCAATAGTAAAACCATTAGTTTCAAATAGGGCTCTATTCCCACATTTATTCCCGTTTACAGCACAGACCTTGAAATTGACCACGTTGTGTCCCCTAGAGATTAGGAACTCCCTAGTAAAGAACAATTTAACGAGATAACGAACGCCAATACCCACTTATCAAACGCAACCTAGTACATACTACTCCGTATTAGTTAGTCGCTAGTATAAATGCGTGATTAATATAGCGGGCCGAGAGGTCTGTGCGAATCGAACGAGAACGTCGCGTGGTGTTTATAAAAAGAATCATTCTCCGGAGTACTTCGAAGGGGATGGTTAGATACATAGTAAGTATTATGTTGGTCCTGTCTTCAAATCTATCCCCTCTGTAATCTCAATTATAAACAAACCCATACATATTTAGGTAGGAAAGTAAGGTGTATAGATGAAACACATACGCATTGTCGCGTCTCTCCGGATATTGAGACGCTAATTTAGTCGAGTTTCCCCCCACACCCCCCTTTTCTTTTCTGCATGGCTTCTCTTCTCTATTTTGTACACTCTTTATGACTTCCTGGGGAATTGTATCTCTTTACTCTCATTCAATTGATTTAAATCTCTACATTCTTTAAACCGGTCCGCTATTCCGCTGTCTAGTCCAATCATCAATTTCAGACCCTGCATATTCTTTAAGTATCCGCCTTTAGACAAGCGCTTACTGAAACCACTATCGTTATCGAGTAAGCACAGCCTTTTATTTATACTAAGGCACAGGACATTGGGTGTCAAGATTGATCTTCAGGGACTGACCCATGGTTCTGCACAGAAGCGTCAATTTTTCCCTTCGGCACAGCTCCGCTTGCGTTACGTTGCACCCTGTTCCACCACGTGGGATCGTCGCCATCTATATCCAGCATCTGTCATCTGGCATTTTTCCCGCCAGGAACAAGTTCTCGGCCCCAAATTTTGAGCATATTCATCACTGCGTTTCAACCGTCACAATGGGTCTCATCGATAAGCTACAAGCCAGTACGTTCCGCGCCTCCCGAAAAACACCCAGCAAAATGCTACTTCACCGCGGAATAGCAATGCGACCTTGAAATACTAGGAAATATAGCTAATATCGAAACAGAACTCGAGCTCTATCGCCTCGAACAGCGCTACGCCCGCCGCAAGCACCGCAGCACATTCTCCACGGGTGCCCAATACGTCGACGGCGAATATGTCTACTCGGGTGTAAGTTCGCCTACGAGTACCGTCTCCAAAAACTCCACTGGCAGCTGGCGCCCATCAGGATGGGGCAGCGGCAGTCAGTCATCGCGATAGTGAAGGACATCTCAAGTTCACATATCTGAGCGATTATTTGTGTTACCGGCGCCATTCCTTTTCTTCTACTTGTCTTTAGCATTTTCACCCTTATTCTCTCTTTTCTGAAGGCCCTTTCTTCTGTTTTATACCTTTGCGTGATGTTTCCGCGGAGTCTCGACGAATTCTTGTACAGCCACACACTATGTCTGTTTTTGTTTTGTTTTCATTTCTGGGAGTGTTTTACTTCCCTTTGCATCTCAGTCTTATGATTTCTATGTGTTAGCGGGAAGCCATGTTCAAAAAGTTGGAATTTGCTTTCTCCTTTTGGATTTTGATATCTCCTGCGATATCCCTGCTTGGTCATGTACTGCTTCTCTTCATCTTGTTTCATATTCTTCATCTACTTAGCCCTCGATGCTCATACTCAATATCCGAGATTGAAATCATTTATCTCTGAGATCTTTTTTTTTCTTATGCAAGGACTCAGTACATGAATAGTTGGCCCAAGATGATATTAAGGATGTTGTAAGGACACCGATGTCTTTTGAAATATTTCTTCGCATGTCTTTCTAGATCTCTGTGCGGCTCATGCCTTTCACTGCTTTTGTACACATCCAAAAGATACATATAAAAAGGGAGCACGCCAAGTAGTCAAAGCCGGCCTTATTTCGAAGGTTGGTTTCGGTTCTTTGTTCTTGGGTTTCTTTCATTTTGCTCAAGGATAGAAGACCACCATACTACACCTAAAGAGAAGCATGCATGTACAAAAACATTAATTCTATATAAGCATACGGATTAGGCACCACCTGCAGGTGTACTGGATTTATCTTGAGAATATAAGACTTGGAAGGCCTAAGGCGGTAAGGCTCAAGTCCGCAGACCTTACGTCACACCACCGCTCTGGTCTCTCCATCTCCACACTGCCAACGCATCTCCCTTATCCTGTGATTGCATTTTTACTTGTGACTAAGATCGAAAAGCTGCCGGACGATCTGAGCTTTCTTATTTGCGCGATTTATCGTCAGACCTACAAATCAAACTCAACTTTCAAGCTCCCGACCGTCCTGCCACACCCAACGCGTTGAGATACCTTCCGTTCACCATGAGCAGTGTTTAGTCGACCATAGCTGGGGAAAGATTGCAGCATAAGCTGCTTTGAACCATGGACAACGCAATCCAGCGGTTATTGAACGACAAGCTTTACGACAGGAGGAAGCAGGGAGCTTTAGAGTATGCCAGCCCAGTTTCATCTCTCCGCACTTGAAAGAACCCATACTAATCACAGTTTACTTACACCAGGCTCGAGAAAATTGTCCGTGACGCTGTTTTCCAAGGAGAACAAGAGAAAATACAAAAGATCGTCGAACAGCTTTGCCACGACTATGCATACGCCGTGCACCAACCCCATGCCCGGAATGGAGGTCTGATCGGATTGGCTGCTGCCTCGATTGCACTGGGATCGGTGAGTGGAAGCTATAACCGACGACTTGGATACATCTTGGCTAAGACCTGGGATATAGGAAGGAGTTGCGCCGTACTTGGGTGAAATTGTGCCGCCTGTGCTCGCATGCTTCTCCGACCAAGATGCGCGAGTGCGGTACTATGCATGCGAGAGCATGTATAACATAGCCAAAGTCGCCAAGGGAGAGATATTGCTGTTCTTCAATGAGGTTTTTGATGCGCTGGCTAAGGTAAGGGGTGCCGATAAGTTTAAGTGGGGTAATGCATATGCTGATATATGGTATAGCTGGCATCCGATTCGGAGCTATCAGTCAAGAACGGCGCGGAGCTTCTGGATCGCCTGGTGAAGGATATTGTGGCTGAATCGGCGGCCTCGTATGTGTCGATCCTACAGTTCTCTGACAAGGAAACTCCAGAATCGGAGAATCAGGAAGACCACGACCCTCCCATGGCGTTCTCTCTCGCGCGATTCATTCCCCTACTTAAAGATCGGATACATGTGATCCAACCGTTCACTCGCAACTTTCTGGTCTCGTGGCTTACCCTTCTAGATACAATCCCTGACCTAGAGCTCGTGAGCTATTTGCCAGAGTTCCTGGAGGGATTGATCAAGTTTCTTGGCGGACCCAATAAAGACGTGAACATCGCGACCCAGGGTCTGCTTGATCGGTTCTTATTGGAGATTAAGAGGATTACCCGACTTAAAAAGGGGATTGAAGAAAGCCGGAAAGGTCAAAAAAGCAACAGACATTCGGTCAACAGCGATGTGATGAGCAATGCGACGGAGCAAAATAGTCAGGCCGGTGGTGCTAGTGAAGACAGGTATGACGTTGCCGTCGCAGACTCGGCCTCAGATACCACCCTTGATGATGAAATCACCCAGGCCGATGGGGATTGGATCCCAGGACAAGATGTACAAATTGACCACCCCAAGATTCTTGGTATTCTTGTCAGCTTTGTCAACACCTCCTATGGTAAGAGTGACTTTACCTTTCTGATTCCCATGTGCTTACGTTTGTTTAGAGGAGGAAATGCAATTGACGGCCCTTCGTTGGCTTGATTCCTTTTTCGAGATCAGCCCTGAAGACATTCTTCCCTTCGTTCCACGACTGTTGACTCAGGTACTCCCAGCCATGTCCAGTGGCTCAGATCAAGTACGAAAAGCAGCAAACCAAGTCAACACGTCCCTTGTCCAATACATCTACTCCTTGTCAGATGATACTATCGAGGAACCCCAGGTGCCGCCGTCAAAGATCCCTTCCACTACGGCCAGCAAAGAAACCTTAGAGCGAAGGTCATCGACTCCCGGAGTTAGGCCTTCAGAGACAGCGAGCATTGACACAAAGAAACAAACAGCACAAGATAATTCTGTTGCAGCTACACCACGTAGTAGCGTTGTTTCCACACCAGTGCCTCCTGCCGATCTTGATTACGCTGCTGCTGTCAACTCCCTCACTCTACAGTTTCTCAATGAAAATGAAGCCACTAGAGTTGCGGCCCTTGTATGGCTCATCATGCTCCACCGTAAAGCCCCGCGGAAGGTTGTCGCTTTCAATGACGGTACCTTCCCAGCTTTGCTAAAAACGCTATCCGACCCTTCAGAGGCGGTTGTAACCAAAGATCTGCAGCTCCTTTCACAGATCTCAAGAAACAGCGAGGATAGCTACTTTACCTCTTTCATGGTCAACTTGTTGAAGCTTTACTCTACGGACAGACATTTGCTCGAAGTGCGCGGGAATCTGATCATTAGGCAGCTTTCTCTGAATCTGAGCCCCGAGCGTATCTATCGGACTTTGGCAGATTGCCTCGAGAAGGAAGATCAAGATCTCGAATTTGCCAGTATCATGGTCCAGAACTTGAACAACAACCTCATCACCGCGCCCGAGCTCTCGGAACTGAGAAAGCGCCTGAGAAATCTCGATTCGAAAGTAAATACCCCCCAAAACACCTTCGTTGCATTCTGTAGACTAATGGATTGTTTAGGATGGTCAAATGTTCTTCGTTGGGCTTTTCAGATCGTGGTGCCACAACGCTGTCTCTACGTTTTCTCTCTGTCTTCTTGCCCAGGCCTATGAGCAGGCATACAACCTCCTCCAGATCTTGTTAGTATACCAGCTCTATCCACCACGATAGTCTGCTGACAAGACCATTCACAGTGCCGAGTTGGAAATGACAGTTAATATGCTAATCCAAATTGACAAACTGGTGCAACTACTAGAGTCACCAGTATTCACATGTCCGTTTCTTTCCCTCGACACAGCCCAAGTTCCAGAAGCTAATCCCAACAGATCTCCGCCTCCAACTCCTTGAACCCGAAAAATACCCCTTCCTGTACAAATGTCTCTACGGCGTCCTCATGCTCCTCCCCCAGAGCTCTGCCTTCGCCGCCCTCAAGAACCGTCTGAACAGCGTCAGCAACATTGGTTTCCTCCATGGTGCACCCCGCAGGTATGGCCCCTGCACCCCGCATTCTACCCCAAGGCTTACTGAGACAAAACTCCCTAGCACTACCCAAACGGCTCCATCTTTCGACCGTTCCACAGGCACCCGCCTGAAACCCCGTGACGAGAACTCCATCCGCTGGGTCGACCTCCTCGAAAAATTCAAGTCCGTCCAGGAACGAGCCCGTCGATCCCAGGGCTCTACCCGCCATTCCTTCGACCAGTCTGGACCCCTGAGCAACCCCTCTCTTACAGCTGCTCTCTCCGTCGCCGCTGCAGACCGTCCCAGGGACCGATCTAGTCTACCCGATACTCCGCGCGGTGCCCCGGGCCCTAGTAACGCTGCTGCTGGAAATTCTGGCCTGGGGGGCTCCGGTCCTGGTGCTAGTGGCACTACTTCCGGGCGTGCATTGGATAGCAGCACGCCAAAGGGTGGATCGTCTTCTCATAAGCACAAGTCTAGTCTTCCCAATCTGGGCCGACTGGGTATTGGAGGACGGAGGAAGAAATAGTTACACATGTAGCTAGAGCTGGAACTTGTCTCCTCCATAGACCTTTCTTTTTGTGTCTTGTACTTAGCTGGATCGTTTCGTTGACATCATACCCGGGAGCGTTCGTCTGAATAGTTATCGCTTGTGAATAGGTATCGATGAGATCACATTTCTTAACTTCTCTAAATCTGTCTCTTGTACGTTTATTATCTGAGCATGGTGTCCACAATCTTCATTTTCGGCACGTGTAGCTCTTCTGATACAATAAAAAAAAAATGAATTCGTTCTATAGACATAACTGCTCGCTTCCCAAATGAATACGCTCCAAAGATACATCAAACCCAATGCTGTAATAAACTCCGAACCCGTCCCAAGTATGCCAAATAAGTGTATCAGTGACTAATATACTGGAAAATAGCCGAAACATCCTGTTCGCTAGACTCTTGCCGAAGAAGCAAATCTTGGATTTGATTAAGCGGCCCCTTCTCGCCGGTATTGACAAAATGGTTCCACGAACTAGTATCACCATACAGCATAGCGGGAGCCTTGACATATTGCAAGCCATCAGGCCGACACCGTTTGCACTTGAATGTGTCATGAGTGTCACTCCGGGTGTCTGGTTTGA